GCCAAAATTGATACTGTAGCATCTCAAAAACAAAAACAGTATAAACTAAATATATGCCAAACGGGGCTTAGCAACAAAAATGTTGTTTCAATGAAAACAGAACGTAAAACGAAAACCGTTGTGAAATGGGCCCTTAATGGCAAGACGAAGAAAGGGAATTGCTTTCTATTGGCCCGAATGCTTAAGGGATGAACCAACATAGCCAATTGTTTGAAACTCGTAGCAACTGATACAGACAGTTGCTTAACGGTCTTTTGATTGCCAATCTTGGGCTGTAGCAACTGTATAGGAATTGAATTCTATTGGGCTGGGCTTTAGCTTATTATTGTCGCACTATTCTGTTACTGGGTTGCTAATTGCCTTGGGTTTTGGTATTTGTGCTTTGGGACTCTCCTATTATTTGGGTCTTTATAAATTTACACATATTATTATGTTAATATTCTTGCACGAAATTTTTTATGAAAAATGAAGGTGAAAGAAAGGAAATCATGTATTAGTTAGCAGAATTCTTTTTTATGAAAGTTATGGGAAAATATTATTTTCTTAGTTTTGATAACATAAAAAGAAAAAGAAAATGATTCTACTAACCAAAAATACTCTTATTATTTTAAATAGTAAAAAAAAAAAAATATGTTAGATGAATATTATTTATACTTAATTATTTATTTTAGTACGAAAATTGTGAAATATAGAATAGAATAGTATGTGATATCATAATACAATTTTTTACATCCTCCTCTCTCTCTCTCTCTATATATATATATTCACTTGTTCTTATATAGACTTGAATTTTCAATCTTTTATTTTTTAAGCTAAGAAAAATGGTAAAGTGGACAATTTAAGTTCAGGTATTTATTTTCTTCTTATTTTAGTTTTATTTTTGTTATTTATTATTTATTTGTAAATGATGTAATTGGATACTATATATATATAATTAAAGTAATGGATAATGTTTGATGTTAGGTATGAAACGAATTGTATTAAGATATTGTAGACTAGTTTCACCAAATAATTTTGCTATCAACAAATAGTTATGTCTATATATATATAATAACTCTTAATCATTATCAATTATAGAAAAAAAAAATAATATCTTACTTATTTGAGACCTTTTGAAAAAAAATTACTCAATAATGAAAGGAAAAAATAAATTAATTTTGAATGCACACATAAAAATACAAATAATTAAATTAGTAATACATGATTGTATAAACAAACAATTTACAGAAGAAAGAAACTCTCATTTTCAATAAAAAAAAAAAAGACAAATAACATAGGTATAATAGAAAAGTAATATATAAAGTGCATAACTTTAACGGGAAAGTGAATTTTCGTGTGTTTTATGCACGTAAATTTTTAAGAATTTTTTTTCAGATGCGGGAATTCTACTTTCTTGAAAACTTTCATTTCCCCTGTAACCAAACTTTCAAAAAGTTAGCAAACGGACCCTTCGGAAAACAAAAAAAATACTAATAATAAAAATAAGAAGGTGCAAATTAGAGTTTAATGATGTCATACCGCAAATAAGGTGTTTGGTGCACAATTTTCATATAACGGTTATATGCATGCTTAATATGTGGGAACAAATTAAGAGTTTTGGCTAGAAAGATAAGAAATAATTTCAATTTTTAAAAAGCTTTGTTTTTTTACTTAAAAAGTATTTTCAAAAGCCTAAAAGAAAAAAGAAAAAAAAAATCCAAAATATTTTCTCAGAATTTTAGCCAAATAGCTAGAGATCAAAAAAGATATATATATATATATATATATATTATATGTAATAAGTTTTAAAAACATTTTCCTTTTAAAAATGTATTTGTCATTTTGAATAGTGACCAAACAATAAAAATGTTTTTTAAATAATATTTTACGCGAAATCCTAAGAAACAATAAATTCACATACTTTGCAAATAGATTTTCGATCAAAGTGGGACATGACAAGTTTAACCTAGGGTTTAGATTTGGACCTGGATCAAACTCAAAATTTCTCTTAGCTTATGTTTGATATAATGGAAAAGAAAATAAATGATAACATTAGTTAGGAGAGAAAAGAAAAGAAAGAGAAGGAGTGGCTTGTGTTAATCATGTATTGTATTTAGTTGATTAACGAAAGAAGAAAAAAAAAAAAGAAGAAGAAAGAATTGATAGTAATCATATTTGGGGAAAAAAAGAAAAGAAAATGATACTATTTAATGAATTTACTTGCACCTTTTCTTTTTTTCTTTTTTTAAGTTTAGTCTTTAAAAAAAATACTAACAATAAGGACAAAATGGATGTTAGAATTTTTTTATTAAACTTTATAGCAAGGGACGGTCCCCGAACATTGGGGGAAAATCAGCTCCAGTCGCACAGTGCACAATTTCCTCCATTTTGGAATGAGTGGATGACAAATGGCCACGTCACTTAAAAAAGTGGGTTAAAAAAAGTAAATGCACACTGTTGAAGTTGTATTAAATGTGTGTAATAATATTGTATATTTGTATAGTAATACAGTATAGGTTATATTTATACGGCATATTGTCCATTTAGCCCTTACTTATTGAATGGAATTGTCCATTTAGCCCCTAGCCCTTACTTTACAGAATTTGTAAATAATGCAAAGAAGATAAAGAAGGAAGAAGGTCTGCGTGGGTTTGGGAAGAAGAAAGAAAGAAGAAGGTTTACGTGGGAAAAAGGTGCTTTGTTGCGTGAAGAAGGTCTGTGTGGGTCTGCGAAGAAGAAAGAAGGAAGAAGGTCCTGTGTTGGCCTTTTTTTAGTTTAAGAAAACCGTAACCTCTTTTGTGTGTCTGACGCTTGGGTCTGTGAAGAAAACCATCGCTACATTGAAGAAAACCCTAACTTCTCTTTCCAAATAGAAGCCGGAAGAAGCGATTATTCTATAAATGAACCCAAATTTTGGTTGCTAAACCTAAGCAGGTACAAATAATCATATTTGATTTTGAAATGAATCATCTTATTTCCATAAGAACTAAATGCCAGAAACAAATATAATTAGTAAGAATATATAGACACATTTTTGATAAGAAACCCTAACCTTTCTTTCCAAATAGAATCTGGAAGTTGTGATTGTTCTATGAATGAACCTAAAATTTTGTTGCTAAACCTAAGCAGGTATCAATCATAATTAACAAATATAATTAGTAAAAATATATAGACACATTTTTGGTAAGAAACCCAGAGTGTTACAATGTTAAGAAAATGTTTGGTTGTTGGGCTTGTATTGCAACGTTTTCCTAAGTTGCATCCCAAATTCTTCCTAATAAGCATTCCAAATTCATCCTTATCTGCATTCCAATATTTTTGTAAAGTGAGTCACAACATTTTTCTAATGTACATCATAACATTTTCGTAATATAAATCCAAAAATATTTGTAAATTGTAACCTAACATTTTCCTCTGAAAAAAACCCTAACCTCTGTTCTGCGTCTGAGGCTTGGGTCTGTGAGGAGAACTATCGCTACATTAAAGAAAACCCTAACCTCTCTTGCTCTTTCTTTGATTGAAGAAAACCGAAGCCTCTGTCTTGCCTTTTCTCCGTCATTCCTTTTCGGTGATTAAAGAGAACCCCATAACCGATCGCTCTAAAAATCCACAAAGTGCAGAAGTTATTTATTGTTGATTTGGAGTCCTGCTTTCATCAATAGTAAGTGGATGTTCCAAAAGTCTGAAGTTCTGTAGTTGGGTGCATGTGAATTAGCCATTTTTAGTTTAATAATGCTGCCTAATGTGTTGAGCATAGTAGATGAGGTGCCTGATGTTTGCATTCACATGAGTGCAATAACATACATACGACATTTTTTAGTGATTAAATTGCTTATCTTCACTGCAGTTGAGTTTTGAGCATAATTTGCTTTGGTCTTCCTTAGTGATGGTCTTGTTTATATTTAAAATTTGTCACATGTATATGATTTTAATGCTAGTGTCTATAAATTTGGTTTATGGTGATATAATTTATATCCACTTAACTTATGTTGCATACACAATTTCGTTTTTGCGTATTTTATGGTTGACAAATTGAGCAAAAGAACCAATATGCCTTGATTTGTTGATATTACCTATGTAATATTCCTTCCTAGAGAAAAGGACTATGTTTATATCATATACTCCGTATAGTTTGCTTGTAGTAGGAGTATTAGTTTTGAAGTGGCTTGTTTTAAGGAGTAAGAAAATATAGGTTTGTCAAATAATCCACTTCTTCGTTTTTGGAAGGAAATCAGACTCTGCAGCGCTGCTTCTATTTCGAAACAATTTCTACCATCCAAATTTTGGGTTGATTCACACAACAATCGCGACTTCCGGCTTCTATTTGGAAAGAAATAAATTTCTAAAATGGCTTCATTCATATTCATGGACAGAAGAAGGCTGCTAGTGGCGGGATTTCTATTTCTATTCATATACACACGAAAATTCTGTATTAGGAAAATATATTTTTTTACCAAACATGGTCAACACTGTTCATTGATCCAAAATGGAGAAAATGGGACATTGTGGAACTGGAGGTGATCCTGGTCCTAAAAGGGACATTAGAGGGTTTGGGGGCAAGAATGAATTTTTAAAATAATTTTAGAAGGACAATAGTAATATTTTATAAATATATAATGAAAAAATAAAAAAATAGCAATGTATGTGAGCGCCCCCATGAAGGTCCGTCTCTGTTATAGACCTTTCCTTTCATTTTCCTCCATTTTTTAAAGAGTAACAAAATTCAACCATCATGCCTAATTTGTATCCCTTCAAATCTCTTCAATTTACCTTCTTTTTTTTTTTTACTTAATAATTTATACCAAACATTCCATTCCCCACCATCACTTTTATTTTTTATTCTTAAATTTATCTCAGAATAAACTGGTCCTTATGCACTAAACCGGTACTCGGTAGAATAGATGGTGGAGACCACTCAAGAAAAAGAGTGGACCCATGGACCTATTACAAAAGTGGGTCCACCTGACCTCACCGCATTTAGAACGTTGACAGGTCAGTTGTAACGTATCTCAACCCAGGTAGACACTTGTTTCCAACTTTATTAAGAGAAGTATCGTATTCACAGAATCAACTAAGAATTGTATCGAAATCTGCCCATTTTTAATGCCCAAAACCTCGTGCTCTCTTCAAACTCCAAACCCTCCTTCCCTGCTCTCTCTCCGATTCACATTGTCAGTCACTGTAAGTTCTCTCTCAATCAAATCCTAATTTTATGTGTTTTTTTATTGTGTGAATACTCTATATTTATATGTATTATATATATATAGATATATGCAAATTCTATGTATAGAATCTGTTTGCAAGATCAGAAACTGACCTAAGAATGTAAGAATTTATCAATTCAATGATAGATTATACTAATTCTGATTAACCGTTTTGGTTCGAATTTATACAAGAATGTATTGAATTGTAGATTATATTAAATCTGATTAACAGTTTTGGTTGGTATTTATATAAGAATGTATTGAATTTTAGAATATGTTAATTGTGATTAACAGTTTTGTTGGAATATATATGTATTGTGGATGGTTTCTGACCAAAATTTTTTGTTCTGGGTCTGGATATGATTGTGCTGGTGAAAATGTGCTGTAATTGGGAAAAAATTGAAACTGGTTCAGTAGTTTTAGTATCTGGAACTCTGAATAAACCATGAGTGAAACTCCCGGTAAAAGGTTGCATGAGGAGGGTGGTGGTGGCTGTGGCAGTGATGGTACTGGTCATTACTCCCCCTCGAAACATCCACGGTATGATTTGGTTCAATTCCCCTCCAATGTTGGGCCAAAGATGACTCGTTCGTCGGTTGTGAATGATTACCATACTACTACTTCCTTTGATATGGGGCAGGAAGCTCAGGTGTTGAAGATTCCTCGTGCTGATTGCCGTGATGTGGATGGAAGGTCGCCCCTGCTTTCCATGTATCGTGAGTCATCATCCCCAAAAGTTTTGCAGCCTGACCATTCCATCGCCTTGGAAAACAGGTTGGAAGTAAGAGATTCTAAAGCGACTAGTAGGGATCTCAGGGTTGAGCACTGCGACACCAAGGTAGAATCGAGGGAGTTGTACCTAGGCGCTAAAGGTGATAAAGATGTAAGAGTTGAGAGTAGTGGGGATGATAACAAAGAAGATGCTATTCCTGATCTTGAATACAAGGGTGATCCAAAGATGGAAAATGATGTTTATGGCGCAGTGAGTAGTCACCTAAAATGGAAATATTCGAAAGAACAGAAAATGGGAAAAAGGAATCCTGATGCTCGGGTTGAAATGGTGGATCCTTGGCATACTTCGTGTTCTAATTTGTCCAGTCTAGTTGAGGTTGAAAAGGATGGCTTGACCACTGAAGTGAAGGATTACGTTGCAGCGCATGAGGCTGTTGGGGAAAACAAAGTTGATTTGAAAGCTGTGGATAAATTAAAGGGGAAAGATAGGAAAAGGAAAGAGGGGAAGCACCGGGAATGGGCAGAAAGGGATCGTACGAACAACTTGCAAGTAGGTAATGGTAGTGGTGAGGGCAAAGAATCAATAAAGGATGGAGGAGAAGCTGTGAGGTTGGAGAGGGATAGAAAGGATCGTTTGAAAGATAAGGAGAAACCGAAGGAGAGGGAGAAGGATCATGCCAAGAAAGAAGGATGGAACAAAGTTGAGAAAGATGGTTCACACAATGAGAAGGAACCGGTGGATGTATCTGGCAGCACACCGGGGCAGGAAAATGCAATGTTAGAGCAGAAGAAACAGAAAGACCATGACAGCTGGAAAACTGTTAATAAGGGAGCTAGAGAGAGGAGGAAAGAAAGAAATGCTAATGTAGAAGGCGAGAGACCCGAAAATCGCGGTAGGTGCCATGAAAAAGAATCAAATGATGGATGTGTGGATGCTGAAGGAGGTATGGAGAGTGAAAAAGATGTTTCTAATTATGGAGTTCCGCAGAATAAGAGGATGCTACTGCCGAAGGGCAGTCCCCAAAAGGAAAACCTTGAGCCCCGTTTTATATCCTGTACTCAAGATAATGAAGGGTATGCCTTTCGTATTTTCTTATACTCTGGTTTAATTACAAGCTTGTGTAGTGTGATAATTTTTTCGCTTTAGTTCATGCTATTTTTCTTGAGTTACGCTCTTAAATCAAGATTATTCATCTTATTTGCCCTAATCAATTTCTAATTGCTAAACTTTCAAATAAAATAAAATAAAATAAAGCAATGTTTTATAGTTGAGTTTCTCATCTGACTAGATCTTTTACAATGTTTGTTACATGTCATAAATCCAGAGTTCTGTTATTTTCCGAAAAATAAATCCTGAATTATATTATAGTAAAGTGTGCGGAGTGAATAAGTGGTCACATAGAAATAATGCAGCCTTTTGCGTTTTTAAGACAAGCAATAATAATTACCTTCTTTAATTTGTCAGATTTAGTATTTTATCTCAATCACTTATCAGATATCACTAATTAGATTTGCTTCTGTATCGTGATTTAATAGAAATTTCTTTGACTTCTATAAGCATCATTTTTATTCTGGGAAAAGTTTCTTTCTTAAGAGTCTAGTATGTTGTAGTGTAGAAAGCATGCATGAGTGATAATGCGTTGTAGCCTACTAAGAATAAACCAAAATAAGGTGGAATACACCTAGATGCTGTGGAAAAGTCCCATCTTCTTAGAATTATCTGACAACATATTGGTCCTGGAATTTGATATCACTCAAATTTACTTATGCTCTTAGTTTTGTGCACCTATAGTTTTATTTTTCTTCTTTCATTTATGAAGTCCACAATATCACTGGAAGGAAAATAAATTTGATGTAATGGTATAATGATGTATACCAAAATGGAGGATGCGTGGTTGATATGCAACTGTTAGGTTTTTTGGGACATGAATATGTACTAAACTTTAACAGAAATAATCTCTCAATTATTCTAATATCATATTCAGAAATTCAAACATCTCTCAGACCTATGTAAGAGAAATTCCAACTTTTTGACTTTTTGTATTGGATTATTTAAATTTACCAAACATTAATATTTTTTGTTATGCATCTAGAAATATTTAGATTTCAGGCGTCTATTGGAGAAGTCAAGACTGGAACTCAATGGTGATTTTTCTGTTGGATATTGTTCTGGAATCTTGAGATTTTTAATTGTAAAGAATAGTTTATAGTAGGAGTGGCAAAATGGGTCATGACCCACCAACCCGCCCATATCCGCCCGTTTTAAAATGGATATGGGTGAACCATTTTATAACATGTGTTAGAATGGGTGGTCCATATTCAATGCATTTTTATAGAGGGTTAAATGGGTTGAATATGGGTCGTTTATTTTGACCCATGTTTCACCCATTATATAAGAGACACAGTTTCACATCTTCTATTTGACTCAAATTCATCTCTCCTTCCTCGCTTAAATTTTCTCACATGATCCAAAATTCTCTCTCTAAGATTCTCTCTGCATCATCCTCTTTCTCTCTCTAAAATTCTTTGTAGTACTATAGTATTGCTCTGCTACATCCACAACACATATACAATGTATTAGTGTGTATTATATATGCTCTGCTTTCCTACCAACAATATCCTTTACTTCTTTTGGTAATTCTTGCAACAATATCTAATGGTCCATCCCCTTCTCTCTCTCTTCATGAGCATATACATATGCAAACAGTCTTCTTTTTTGGTTTATCTACTGCAGAAATAACAGAGACATTTGTCTTGAGGGAATCATTTTATCTCTCAGCCCAATGGGTTTACAAATACGTTGACATTGACGAGAACTGTAAGTCAATTATGCAACTCAAGCAGTGGATTGTTCAATCCAAATTCTAATAGAGTACAGTGTTAATCTATTGAAACATCTCCGAGATCATGGATTCCTCATGTATGTAATACTACGGCTCGAAACAAACCTATGTTTACATCTGTATTTCAAAGTAGGAATACCCGATTTATTCATTTAATTATTTATTCTATAAAAAGCTTAATAGATGATTTCATATAATATATATATATATATATATATATATATATATATATATATATATATCATGCATGTCTAGTCATAAAATAAAGTAATATAAATTTAAAGAATTTCCAAGATAAATTGGAGGATTTACAATTATCGATAAATATTTTTGCAAGCTTTTATCCATCTAAAATAAAAAACTATAATAATGAGATTATCCAAAATAATAACATTTCTTTTTCCTAAAACGGGTTGGTGGGTCATGACGGGTTAACCCGGCCATTTTGACCCAACCCATATTTAACCAGTTACAAGCGGGTTGAATATGGGTCACAACCCATATTTGACCACCCATATTTGACTCTGACCAAACCCGACCCAACCCGCCCGTTTGCCACCCCTAGTTTATAATGTATTAGAGGAAAGAGATTTGTTTATAATTTTTTTTTTCCAGAGAAATGCTTAATGATCACTTTTTTTTTTTTAAAAAAAAAAGGGAGAAATGCTTAATGACCATACCATATATTCACATGTACAAAGAAGGTAACTAAAAGCTTTATGGTAGATGCTGAAAGCAGTTTAGGTAATTTTAATTTTCTTCATCTAATCTCAAATGTAACTTTGTAGTATGAATTGAAATAATGAATGGAAAGAACACTTAAATCTGTCAACATGTGACAGTATATATGGTCCACTTTGTTATTTATGAGAAATGCAGAAAGAAATGAAGGACGAGGGGAGTCCAAAAAGAAGTTATGTTTTACAAGTGGATTGTGTTGCAATAAATCAAACTACATCCCCTAGAGAGGTTTTTGCGTAGTGACCTAATCTGTAAGAGGTGGGTTTTCCTCAAGATCTGCCTATTTGCAAATAAACAGTGAAATCTGGTTTAAGTTTAGATTTACTTATCTCTTATGCTGAATTGACACGAGTCTTTAATTTTTCTCTGCTGAGCAAGCTGGAGATCTCTACGAAAATTTCCCTAAAAAATTGAAGAGTTTGCTTGTGCAAGGACTTGATCATATAATCACACTTCTGCTTATACTTTTAAAAACCATTGGACCGAGATGGTAACTTTGTTAAATATAAAGCTTTATATATTATTTACTTTCTTTTGATAGATGACGTAAGTTTTTTGACAGAATGCAAAGATGACACAACCCGAATACACTGGAATGCTCACCGGTCAAAAAATGTATACACTGCCTACTACTGGGAGTTTGTTGAGGGGAATATGGCTATCCTGAACATTTAAATAGACAACTTAAAAAGTGTTGGACTTGTGTCTTTTATAGTGTAGGAAATTTCGAAACAAAAGACGGAAGTCTGTATTTTATTTATTTTGGAGTGATTGAGTTAGTCTGATCCATAGACAATTGAAAACTACGAAGTGTAAAGATCAAACAAAGATGAGTTCTGATCTTGAGGTGAAAAAACTGAAATCAACTTCACAGTTACTTACCGGAAAAATAAAAAAACTTCACAGATTGATTATTTACCAAACCTTGTTTGCAATTATTTCATTGACGCCTTAGGAATGTTTGTAGAACATTTATCATGGTTTGATATAGAAGTTTTGGATTTTGAAAAATAAGCTTTTTAAGCATGTTGGACTAAGATGGATTAATCGAGCCTTCTATGGATCGGTCCCATTCCTAATAATAATAAGCCGTCTCTTATTGAAACAATAGGCAAGGGTAATTCTCAGGGGGGCCACTTTCTATTACAGGCCAGTTACCTCACTAAAATTCAAAGTTTTGATATTAAAAATAGCTACAAGACCCTACTTCTTATAGGACTTAAGTAAAATCCTATCTCTCTCTCTCTCTCTCTCTCTCTCTCTCTCTGTGTGTTTAGGGTTTGAAACACACGCATGCCTATTAAGAATAAGGGAATACAATTTATTGAGTTTAAGAATTTTTACTGCAAAGTTCTTGTGTGAGCATTCACATAGTTTTTACTTCATCATACATGTTGCATTAGATTCTTGTTCACACAGGATAAAGGCAGTGATGATGACGATGATACATATTGAGCATTGGGGATATGATGGTTTATGAATGTTGAGCTGTGATTTTGAGTTGTTACACATAATGCTCATACAAAGAAATCACATAATAGAAAGTTTGGATTGCTGTTTATGGAGGGAGATCAGCCGGCGAATGGGTCTATTGACTGGTGGAAGTCTGGATTCTAATAGATTTCTTTTCCATATTCAGTTTCCTCTGGTTACTAATTTGAGAGGTAAGTTTTATGGGATTTTTAGAAGAGTAAAGTGAAAAAAAAAAAATTAAAAATCCGCTATACAGAAAGTATGCATGGAACGTCCCTGGCATATAACCCCTTATGATTTAAGAAATGTGTGCAAATTGACCTCCTCTGTCATATGTCCATTATAAAGTGTCCATGTGTCACTTCTTACACAAAATTTAGATGAAAACCCAAAAATACCATTTTCAATAACCATTGTATACTTAAATAAGTTTTGACCTGAGCACACCACTTGTTGACCCGAAATCCATTGCCATGTGCCCATCTTTTTTCCTTCTCCCTCACAAAGATATCTCTCTGTAGTCTGAAACTCTCCCTCTTCTATCTGTGATAGATATTCTTCTTCTATCCAACCAAACGCATTTGCCACCAACATAAAAAGAAAACAATTCACTGTCACCAGTTCAATCGTTGTCATCGACCACACTTGACCGTCATCTAATAAATTTCTCCTAAACAAGTTCAATGATTTCATAATATTGTGATATGAGTTGTCTTGTACCTTTCGGAAAGAGAGGCATTATTTTCATGCCAATTATCAGCACAATGCTTGTAGGCAACAATGAAATTATGTAAAAATAAGATTCTACAAATTTTAGGTTATGAGACATGTGAAAGTGAGTGAATGGTTGTGGGAATGGAGAGAAGCACCAAAGGGATTGCAAAAATTGTGGTGGTTATCATGTTGGAAATTGGAACAACAGCCTATGATTCCCATTGTGATTCGTACAATCCCTTCCATAGGTGTTTTAAATTTCTCAATGATCTCTATTCTCTACTATTGTTTATTGCTTTCATCTTTCTGTAAAATTATCATTTTTAATCAATTTTCTAAAAAAGAAGGGCTAGAACTGACGGAAATTCAAGTTCTGTATCAAAGCTTTAATGGCGAAGCCCAAATCCCTTTAGCACCCAGTACATGTAGTCTTGGGTCATTATCTACTTTTAGCTCTTTTGAACGGGAACATCATCTCAAAAGTGCCAAGCCCATATCATTGCATCATGGCCATATCACACGGCCACCATTTACTGTTTGTGAAGTGGCATTTCTCGTGATTTGGGCTTGACACTGGGATGTAGCGGAGTAAACAGATGGCCGGTGTTTGGATGGCGGTGGTCGATGGTGACAAAGCAAGGCAGAGAAATCAATTTCTTATAATCAGTTTTATTTGAGCCAAAAGGATTATTTATTTAGGCAGGTTTGCAGTTAATTAAAACTGCTTTATTTACTTGCCTTTCGGGGAAAAAAAAACTTCATTTCTTACAGAGTATTTGACTATTATTTGTTCATCCCCAATTTGGAGAAATCAATTTCTTATATATAAATATATATTTTTTCAAATGATGAAATTCTACTATTCTTAGGTGCCTGATAGTGAAACATGTTGTGATGATCCCTTTGTTTCCTCTGCAGATCTCAAGGTAAGCTGCTCATTGAGTGGCGAGTTTTGTGTATGCTGTAATCAACAGGGACTTGTTCCTTGGTGCAGATATGCCTTTTTATGTTCTCCTTCTACAAGAATTACTTTAGTTCATAACTTCACATAGCACTTTCAATATTTTTACATTTATTGTATTTTATATGCATTATGTTACATGCTTCCATTATTATTATTATTTTTGTTTATAAATTTGTTATGGACATACTATTTTATAATGACAAAGGCAAGGTAAAATTTCTATCCTTTAAATTAGGTTTTAGTCCTGGCATGATTGGGTGGCTATATTATTGGATATATGGGCATTTCTTTATATCGTTCATCATCTTCTACGAAAGAATTTCGATAATCACCGTGAAAGTATTGAATGCTGGCTATGTATCCAAAAAAAAAGAAAAAAAAAAAAAAGGGAAACAGAAAAAAGATGAAAGAAAAGGAATGAATGAAGGCCCAGGGAAGATTGTGTGAGTATCAGCTTTGACTGAGCTGTGAAATGCATCTTTCTATCTGTCTTTGCATCTGACATCATGTAATCTGTTCCAAAGTTGATTTTGGAAATGTTGCTCAAGAAAGCCTACATCTGGATTAGTACGTGAAATATTTTGCTATTACCCTTCATCTAGGAAACATTGTTATGTGAATTATAGTCTCAAATGTCTTACTATTGCTACCTTTAGGTACTCTTCTCACTTCCTTACGTGCATTTCTATCCTCCTTGTGGTTTGTTCCACCCGAGTTGCGTTATTCCTCATTAATTATGTCATTTATTTTCCTTGTACGGGGCTAATCCAATTTAATGGCGTATCTCTAATTTTGTTTGGTTGGTGATGCCTTTGCCTTCTAGGGATGCATTTATAGTCTTCTTACTCTTTTTCCTTGTCTTTTTGGAATGCTCAGGGGTGGGTGTTGATTGACTCATTTATTTCTGATGGTATCTCGTTTTTCCCCTGATGTCCATATTGTAGCTTAGTCTTCTTTCTCTTTTTCCTTTTCTTTTTGGAATGCTCGGGGGTGGGTATTGATCGGCTCATTTATTTCTGATGGTATCTCGTTTTTCCCCTGATGTCCATATTGTAGCTACCCTCAATTTATGAAATACCCTTATACTATATGTATAATTGTTTTCACAAACTATACCTTCTTGGATGGGTATAAACTGATTATAGAACAGTTAAGATGCTCATTTCATACATCATATTGGGCATCGTTATGTTCACTTTTCCGTTTTGTTTTTCATCCAAATATAGAAATTAACAACATGATCTCTTTTCTAGGTACTCCTTTGTCATTGATCTATTTTTTTTCCTTCATTTCTGCTCCAGATTTAATTTAGGTACATTTGATGTCTCTATCATAGTTATAAAGTAAATTTTAAGAGGTACATGGATTTTCAAATGGGTTTTTATGTGGTTTGGGTGAGAACTCAATAACAAGATTTTAACTACTTAGGTAAGGTAATATAGTTCATGTTCATCTCAGGCTACACTGTAGGTCATTCTCTCATCATTTTAACCCCTCGTCTCTTTGGCCTGCTTATAGCTTTTGATGCATCAATGTGCACAATGTTGTGCATGACCATACAAGTGTAGATCATGGGCAGAGGGGAGGGGGTTTGGGGTGGGTGAAAGAAGTGGTTAACTTTTGGGCCTTGATTACAATCAAGCTCCCCAAAATATTTTCCAGTTCAGGTTTAGGAAGAATGAAATCGTGATCAGCTATCAAGTCCGTTTGACTTAGTATCAGTTGATCTAAACAAAAGTGTGGTTCTGTAGTGTCAATCATTTGATTTTATATAAGTTCCTTCAATGGTTGAAAACTTGACCAGTTGGGAAAATCTTGTCAGATATAATTGTATTTCTGCTATGGACCTAATTGCACAACCCATTAAATCTAGAGTCACGATTTGAAAATTTTAGTGCCGTCTTGTTTATGTTTTATAGAGATAAATAATGAAGGCATGTCAAGGACCTATCCTATGATGGTTATGATGGAAAAACTAGAATCAAGGCTTCACAGGTTTATATATTATATAAATTTCATCTGCATATTTAATATCTATGACAGCTTCTGGTGTTTCTGTTGTAGGTAAGTTTGAAGAGTCAACTGCTGTTTATAGAGTTGGTAAATGTATGCAAGGACTGATAAAATTGTGGAAAGAATATGAATCATCTCAGGCTGATAAAAATGGTCAAAGCTCTCAAAATGGTCCGACCCTAGAAATCCTGATACCAGCCGAGCATGTTACTGCTACTAATCGCCAAGTAAGATCGAAATTCAAAGTATATAAGCTGCTTCATGATTCAATGTAAATGAGGAAGTTTTGAATCATAGATCTGAATATATTTTTGTCAAGATTTTGAAGTTAAAAGCTGGTTTCACTTTTATTTTTTCTTCATTTGTTTCTTTTCTTTTTCAAATTGTTGGAAATGGTGTCTCAAAATCCTTGTTTAATTAGGTTTCTATTTTAGAGTTCTATTTTATTAGGTAATATCTTGTTGGGCAAGTCTCGGCTTCAAGGAATTGCAATCCTTGCCCAACAAGAATTGTGTTTGGAACCCTATAAATAGATACCCAAGTTATAGGTTGTGACTTGTGAGATTGAGAGAGATGTAGTCTCATGAGGGAATTGATGGGTAAATGTAGTTTATGGGGTAATAGAGTAGGAAAACACCGGTGGCACTGGTAGCAAGGAGACAAAACTCGTGGAGTGGTACACGGTGAAAAGGCATGTACACGGTGTTGGTACTCTAATGTTGTAATATCTCTATGGAATCATATGGAATCTCTTTTCATCCGTGGATGTAGGCTGGTTTTGGCTGAACTGCGTTATATCTTGTGTTTGTGTGTGATTGCTTTGTTGGCTTGCATTGGATCTTTGTTAGTCTTGCGCATCTGCTGCCCCAACACAAATAATGACTATAATATATATATTTTTATATCAGTTGCCTCCTTTCTATTTATATGTATGTTTGATTACTATGTTCACAAGCACAGGTATTCTTTAATAGAGTTTCTGATTATATGTAATTATAAAGTTACTGGATATTATTTCAACAGAAAAAAAGTCAGTGTCTTTGCCCAGATTTATTTGAAATTCTTGTAATCACTAAGATCCTCGCATGACATCTGAGTTCCTGAACGACTAAATTTCTGGTTTGAATACATTGATGCCTATGCTGGTACAACATAATTTAGATGCTTTTGTTTCTTTCTCTTGAATCTCTTAAAGAGCTACTCCTATAATTTTCTTTGGTTGTGCTGAGGAGAGCCTGCCCTGTTGTCTCTTGGTTCAATATTTGTCTTACGAAAGGAGGTAAAAAGATAGATCAATAATTTTAAGTTTCCGCAAGTCGTGTACTGCAGTTATGATATGGTAGTTGATACACCACTTGGTTGCCCTACTGTTTGTTCCCTATACGAAAATGAAAAAGGAGGATCATAACTGAAGATCTTTAAGTATCAAGCACTACTTTGCCTTTAATTGGAAGAATCTCTTAAATTATTTATGTATGATTTGTGTCAATCCCACTTATCAAAAAAGACTTAATCAAAATAAATAATTAAACTAGAAAAACAAGAAGAAAAAAAAGGTTTCATTCCCTTCTTATTTCTTGAACCATGCTATACCCCCATGTTGAGTTCTTTAATTGCTTTATCTGCAGGTTAGAAGTGGCCAGCTATGGGGAACAGATACATACACTGATGATTCGGACCTTGTTGCTGGTATGTCCTATCATGATTAAGAGTTTAGAGTTTGTGTTGATTCCATGATTTAATGATTTTAGTAGTATAACTTCACTGGTATGCATTCCCGTCTTCCAGTTCTGATGCACACAGGTTTCTATCACCCAAGTGCTTCTCCTCCTCCACCAGCTATCCAGGAGTTACGTGCTACTATTAGAGTTCTACCTCCACAAGATTGTTAGTCCATATAAAACTGAATCTTCTTCTATTTTTCCTTTTCCATTTTTAACTTCTGTTAATGTCACGTGTTCCATTAGAGACTTTAACTATATTTTGTGCAAATAAACTACACATGCATTAATTATTAAGGGAATGCACTTGGTATATTTGGGTTGCACACCAATGTTCTGTCTAGATATTGAAAATAGGTAAAGTAGGCTTACATGTTTAATTTAAGAGTTGGCTGTATCGTATGACTTTGATTCTAAACTTTGATGTCCTTGATGGTTCAGTTAATTCTTCATACTTTCTGAATTTTCAGATTTAAGACCCAGAACACTTATTAAATTGTATTCATTTTTAAACTAGTTCATAGTAAACTTTGGTCACAGCCTTAGTGGAGGGAATTTGAAATTTGGGGCGAGAGCATGGTTCATATATGAATATATACACACATGCACGCGCGTGCGTATCGTGTTTAAAAACTGATGCATCGACAGTATATCATGGAGTCATGGACCTTTGCTTCTGTTTTCTTTCTTTTTTTCAGTCAATGGATTGTCAAATAGATTCCAATAATATTTTAAAAAGTATGTTTCTTGTATCAACACTATCTAACTGTCAATGGTAATGTATCTTTTATTTATTTATTTTTTCAAATGCTGCAAGTACTGCTTATTTGATTGACATATTTTCTCTGTTATTTTTTACTCCTTTTACCTGCTCCTTGGATAAAATCTGTATTGACGAAGATCCCCCACCACCTCCAAACATTTTTAATGAAAGCATTAAACATGGTTAATGACCAGTTAGATTTTGTATAGTGTGGCTGAATTTTATGGGCGTTCATATGATAGTGGGTTACTTCTAAGTAAGTTAGGTTTCACATTTTCTTCTTATTTCATCGAGGTTTATCTTGTTCTATGATATATTCCATTTGTGTATGACTGGTATTTGTTCTAGGCTATATTTCTACAATTAGAAACAATGTTCGTTCCCGTGCCTGGGGTGCTGCCGTTGGTTGCAGTTATCGTGTTGAACGGTGTTGCATTGTCAAGGTGATGATTGCCTCTAGTAGTATATTCCTTTTCCTCTCCATATTTGGTTTCAGGAGTTGATTTTGGGTATCACTTTTGCCTCCCGATTATATCCCGAAATGGTTATGTCAATATGTGATTGCATATTCGTGGCTTCTTCTGACAGTTTTCTTTATTTCAATCTTTATCTGCACTCTTGGAGTGCCTCATATGATTGTCTTTTTTTTAGCTGGCCATTTATGTTTCTGTTGTCGTTTAGTGACTCTGCTTTCCTTTCTTTTTTTTTCCCTCCCTTTTTCCCCAGAAAGGAGGCGAGACCAGGGATCTTGAACCTTGTCTGATAAATACATCAAGCATAAAGCCTACTCTCGCTCCAGCTGCTGTAGAGCCCAAGATAATTACGAGGGCTGCAGCTTTGGTATTACCTTACTGATGTTGTTGAACTCATGTTCTGCTTTGCACATTCATGTATTTGTGAATTATGTTAGTAAATTTTCTATCCTTGCTTGTTTCTTTCTTCTTTTTTTTTTGTTCACTTTTTTCGAGTACTTAGAGTTGGTTTACTTATTTTTTAATGGTCCATGAAAAATGAGTTATATCCAATTTGGGGGTTCTTGGTTAGTGTGTAGTTCATTAAGACTACCTAAGTTAGTATTGGATCTTACAAAAACCCAATATCTTCATTTTTATGTTGGTTATATCTCTTCTTCTTGAAAAAGTTAGGAATCATTAGAGATAAGGCTTTCCTTCTTAAAAGTTTGATTTCAAATGAAGATATTTGTGTACGCAGTTTATGCTGTCTAAGTAGAGGTTTAATGTTTGTTCAGTCAATGCAGTTTCCATATTCAATTGCTCTACTCATAGTAATGTGCGTATAGTACGTTCAGCAGGTGTTTTATTTCTTTCTTTCAATTTTTCAATCATTGCAAAATTATCATATATCAGCCAATCATGTTAAAAATTAGTTAAACAAAACAAACAGAACTTTTCAACTTGTGATGCCTAGAAGGACAAAGGAAGTTGTCTTCGCACTGATACTTGATAAAAAAAAAAAGGAAAAAATTGAGGTTGCATGTGGTGGTGTGATCTGTGTTGCAACACATGTTGGTATTAGTGCATTTTCTGAGTTGAGGAACATCCTTTGGTTTCTTAAAAGTCAAATGAATATCAATCAAGGTACTTTCTGCGGATAAGGACCGTAGCAGTATTATATATGCATTTTGATATTTAAATATAATAAGATAAATTGTAGATTTATTCCCATGGGCCACTCAAATCATATTGATGCAGAGATGACTGACGTACTTGAAAATTTTGAATTTATAGATTTCAGCACTTCTACATTCCAGATTGAATGTTGAGGTTTGAACACAATCCTAGTAGTGCAGTAAACACTAGATTATGTTGTTGGGTATTATGCTCTATTGGTAAATTCGTGTACACTGTGCGTCTGATAAGTCTACGTACGTACTTTAGCAGAATGAATGGTGTCACATTCAGCTAACGTCTCGTACAGTGATTAAAAAGTGGCTCAAAGGTTTGTGCGTCTGATAAGCCTACGTATGTACTTTAGCAGTATGAATGGTGTCACATTCAGCTAACGTCTCGTACAGTGATTAAAAAGTGGCTCAAAGGTTTGTCACCCTAGTTTATTTACAAGCCTGAACCTTCCAACCTTTATCATGTGTTTCGAGGAAAAAGTTCCAAACTTCTCTCTTACAACAAGATAGAAGACAAAGAGAAAGATTAATAATTATTAAGATTTTATTAGTTTTTTTTTTTTTTTTTTTACCTGGCAAATGAAACTTTTATTAGATAAAATGGTGTTAAATATAGTCAGTGCTAGTGCACCAGGAGCAGCATTAGACAAAAATGTGAAAAGGATATTTTGGAAAACTGCTAGATGTAATATTACAAATTCTACCAAGTCATGATAGCATATATATATATATAGGACGTGACTTCAATGGTCAAGTAGGAGTTGAGCGAACAAGATATGCATGACTTAATGGGAGACATGGTTTCGGAAAGAAACAAAGAAAGAAAGCACTCTCAGATTTATTGTCGTTGCTTATGCACCACAAGGAGCATTAGAAAACAAATACAAAAAAGGATATTTTGGAAATTGCTAGATGAAATAATACAAATTATACCAAGTCATGATAGCATATATATAGGATGTGACTTCAATGGTCATGTAGGAGTCGAGATATGCATGACCTAATGGAGGACATGGTTTTTGGAAAGAAAGCACTCTTAGAATTTGCAAGTTTATAAGATTTAGCTATAGCAAATACATTTTTAAAGAAAGAACATTCAATGATGTTTAAGAGTGACATAAATAAAACACAAATTGAATATTGTTTATATAGAATAAGAGAATGGGACACATGTAAAGATTGTAAGGTAATCCACGGGAAAAGTTTAACGAACCAATACCAGATACTAGTACAAGACTTGTTGATTAAGTAATTTATGTATAGGAATACAATAAAAGAACATTAGAACATAAAGTGGGCAGAATTGAAGAGTAATAAAGGGATGATATTTATGGACAAAATATTACTGGCAAAACAATAGAATTGGAATTACAATATAACTAGTGTAAAAAAAAAGAAAAAAGACGGCTGAATATATTAGAAATGTGAAGAAGGAAACCTTAGGAGAGACTAAAGGGTAAAAAATTATCAAAAATAGAAACATGATGAAAGAATGATTAATACAAAAAAAAGTAAAAAATCAAAGAATGAGTTTCAGAGAAGGACTGTCGAAGTTAAATTGATGATAAATAAAGTTAAACAAGATGAATTAAATAAATTGGATGACAAATTAGGGACAAAAGAGGGTGAAAATTTTATTTACAAGTTAGCAAAAATTAGAGAGAGGTTGAGTAGATACATGGATCATGTTAGATGCATTTAGGACATAGATCAAATGATATTAGTTAAAGAAAATGGCACATCAGATTTGTGAAGAATATCTTAGTTTTGCGATCCATGGTATTGCCATCTAAGGATATGTTAAGTTATATAAAGAATGTGATAATATGGTATGGCAGCAGGTGCTGTTAAAATTTGGCATTGTGTTCCTAATTTTTAGACATGATATGGTAATAAATAATGTAATAATAATGTGAACAATTATTTCTGAAAATTTCTCTTTTTTACTTTTATATGGTTATACACAGTGCTACAATTGATAATGCTTGTAAGCTTTGCTTTACAAGTCTAATGTTTGTAAGCTTTTGACCATGCGGTTTCTTTCAATTGTGTTCATGCGTTTAACTTGTTCTACAAACATTGTTCAGCTTACCTGTTGGCTTTTGTTCTTTAGAATGCATTACGGAAACAAAGATTTGTACGTGAAGTGACAGTACAGTACAATCTATGCAATGAGCCTTGGTATACTTTCAATCCTTTCTGTACTAAATTTTCTTCATTGCTTTCTAAAAAGATGTGATGTCTCTAGGTGTTATTTTCATTTAAATGAGTTGAAAACCATTGCTCTTGTTTTTCAAGCAAGTGTTGGAAAGCATAGAGACATTTACCTGAGCATATATCTGGCTGTGAAATTTAAATATGTCTATCACAAGTTCACAGACAGTCCACACGAATCTGGTATGGTTGCCCGTGATCTGTTTTAGATATGGCCATAGCCTTTGGATTTAAAATGGTGAGAATGCACAAGGTGTGGAATGATCAGTATCGTATGACAACTTACTGATATGCCTTACTCATAGGAAATATGCTGCAGCATATTCAATGTCAAAATGTGTTGATGCCATAATACCTTATTAAGCACGAAGTATACAGACACAAATGGGGGCAACACGATATGGACACAGCGATATGAAAAATCTCAAAAAAAAAAAAAAAGAAGAAGAAAAAGAAAAGAAATAAAGGGACTAGGACAAGTCAGGGATTTGACAATAAAATAATAACATAATATAATATTATATACAAAAGATTGATTTTTGTTCATTTTATCCACATTATAATGAATCCACTAATTTTTTTTTCCCTGAATCCTGAATGGGATGAATCCACTAATTTGGAGCTTAGAACCGGATGAATGTTGTTCTGTTTTCTAAAACTTTATATTATTTTTATATTTATCCATAATATGTTATAAAATTGCAATGGAAACCCCAAATTTTTTTATAAAAAAAAAAAAAAAAAAAAATGGCCGTGTCCCGAAAGTTTCCGAAACTTGTCTTGTTCCTGCTGTGTCCACGTGGTTTCCATTCCGTATCCAACCATGCCCAACCAGGAAAAAATTTAAACTCTAGGACACTTCGACGCTACACCCCTAGACTACAGCAGGGTAGTGGTATGAAATGTAGTGAGAAATTTTGCAACAATTTGCTCAAAGGTTGACTCCAAGATGAATACCTTTCTGGCTATATTTTCAGTGGCAGGTCTCTTGTTGTTCCTGGTTGTAAGAGCAGTCAACCAAATCATCCATTCCTTCAAATCTGAGGTCATTTAGAGTGTCTAATACAATCAGCCACATTATTTAGGACTCCATTTAAACCACCTTTAGCACTGGTCCTTTCATGCATATAATGCATATATCTAATTAAATTGAAGTCTCCAAGGAAAATCCGAGGTTCTTTTCCTTTATAAGAGCAATGCTGGATCAGATTGCTTAAAGACCTCCTTTCCGTCTACTTGTAGAACCACAAAAAGCAAGGAAAAAAAGTAAGTGTTGTTCTCCATCATAGTGATCTTGCAATGAATAGCTTGATCCATTTTATGTAATATCCGGACCTCCAAAACATCAGAGTTCCACCCAACCCAAATCTTCCCCAAATGGAAGGAAGCATAATTATCAAAAAAGTTACAATCTTTGGCCATAGAGCTTCTAAATATATCCTTATTTGGAGCTTTAGCTCTAGTTTTACAAGGCCAAGTAGACTAATATGATCACTTAACTGCGAATTGATAACTTTAGATTGCTTTGAGTGGTGATTTAAACCCCTAATATTCGAAGCTGCAATAAATGTTAATTTGTTTCAATTGTGTAATTTATGATCTCAGAGAATCTCTTAGAAATTTGGGTCCAGATAAGATATTGAATGATTTAATTTTAATTGATATCATTCCAATTTAAGTTTATATTTGACACTTTTTGATGGTGTTATGTAGTTCTTTACTGCAAAATTTCTGGTTATCATACAATCTGAAAATAATAACTTCTGGAGGAAAATTTGTTACCCCAGTTATTTGGTGTGATTTTATCACGTGTATTCCTTTCAGATCCATAAGTCGGTCTCACTTTTTATGAACAAATATTTTTACTTTTTTTAATAAAAAAATGAAAATGAAAGTAAAGATGAAAAATTCAAAATAGCTCTAAAATTTTGAAGAACGTGAGAGTGTCAAACACATAAAAACCATAGTTTATCTAGCAATATGCTTAATTATGGTGCTTCTGAGTGAATTAATATGTACATATATTCACAATTCGGAACATCTCTCTCTATCTCTATATATATGTTACAAGGACACTTCAAATGCGTGATGTACCCGTGTCGGACAAGCGACACTCCGATATATATGGGATTTGTGTTTGAAACATATCATTTAAATATTTCAAGTTTATTATATAGTTGTAAGTAAAATCTTCTATTATGCTCCTTTAAATGCATTATTGTTTTAAAATGAGTGAGAAAATTATTTTACTTTAGAAAAATGAATGAAATATATTAAATAATATGAATATTTAGTTGTGTTTCCATGTCCTTGTGTTTGGAGATTTGATAAGTCTGTTGTTTTGACATCTGTATTCGAAAAATGTACCAGAGTCCATGTAACAAGTAGTCTAGGCTCTCTAAAGTTGCTCAGTGCTTTTTCCTTATCTTTTTCTTGATATTGTTTTGATAAATTATATGTATATTAATATATGTATATATATAAAAACATGCATCTTTCCTTGAGTATTACCTTTCTTATCCTCATCCGTGCATGGAAACAATGTATCTTATTATAACTCTACAAATATCTATAGGAACAATCAACTGAGGTTCTAAGTTGGGACATTACGTACTTCTTGTCAACACCACACTCTAAGACTTTTGATGCCTCCTCCAGCTGTGGGGAATCCTGGGCGTGCCACATATATAAATTTCAGTGGCTGATACATACTAAAATCGATTACTTTCCATGCATAATGGAATTTGTCGCTATATAGATTTTAACTTTGGCTAATTCTTTCGCATAAAAAAATCTTTGTATTAAAAGATATACTTATTTTGGTCAAAATTTATATTAATTTTGCTGAAAGTTCCATATAGTTCTACTCAGCACTCACTTTAGATGCATTACAAAGAAAAGTAAAGAAAAGAAAAGGTTCACCGCAGGTACTTGGAGGGGAAGACTGGAGACATACCTAACCTTCAATATTATTTTTCACAGCTTTCATAGGTGCATTTTTTTAAAAAAAAAGAGGAAAAAGTAAATAAAGAAAGAAAGAAAACAAAAAAGGAAAAAAAATGATGCTTTGTCTCTTATCACAGGTTTCTTGAGTTAAGTATTTATTTATTTTTCTCTGTTCATCATCTGTGCTTGTATTTATTTTATTTTATTTTGCAGGATCAAATACAATATAAATATTGTTGCTGACAAGGGCTTGAAGATGCCCCTTTATACATCTGCACGGCTGAAGAAGGGAGAAGTTCTATATTTGGAAACCTACTCTCGCAGGTATTCACTAAGATTGACATGAATGTCTGACCATGAGAGGTGCTATCTGGGATTTTATACTGTATCTTTTTGAAACAACTGGTTTTTTATAAAGAAGCACCAAAAAAAAAAAAATGTCTTTATTTATATATATATATATAATCCATTTGTGAAGATAAAGTGATTTAGTGCCAGAACTTATTTTAATTTCAAGAAAAACAAACTTGTAGTATGCCAATAGTTTAGTTGGTTTTGTTAGGACATCATATCAAAAGATTCAAATCATGGGTTAAGTCTTTCTGGGAGCTTGAGCACCCTCGTCACTCATTCAAGTTGTAATTGTTATAGTAGTAATATAGATTTCCAAGTCCATTTCATCTTTAGTTTGTTGCTGCGTTCAGCTCATTTTTTTTCTGTTCAAAGGAAATTACTTTTTGCTTTATTCTGATTTTATTTTTACACCTCCTGATTGCCCAAATAATGGAGCTGATGAGGCAAAGTTGCAATTGAGATTGGCTGTCCTCTATATTTCTTGAAATTTTGGTATTGGAAGTTTGAACTTCTGAAATTGAAAAATGCATGTGTCCAACTTCTATGTCTTGTTCTTATGTCCACTGATTTTGTAAGTTATCGTCAGGTATGAACTCTGCTTTACTGGGGATAAGATGGTCAAGGCTTCAACTGTGTCTCAAGCACATGAAACAGTGACAGAGAAATCTCCAACTCACAACCTTCTTTCTAGAAATGGTGAAAAAAGTGCACTGGACTGTGAGAGCATTATGATAGATTTATTTCGATGGTCTCGTTGTAAGAAGCCTCTTCCCCGAGAAGTCATGTATGCAATTGGCGTCCCACTACCCCTTGAACATCTGGAGGTAAATTATCTGTCCTTCATTGTGAGACCCTGCATGCTTTTTCCATCCTTTTCCTATACCCTTGTCCCTGTGCCCCAGGCCTCCACCCCTTTTTGATAAAGACAAGAATACCATACAAGTAGTTGAATGCATGAATTTCCGTATGTACTTGCATGAACTCATTGATTACTAAAAAGGTACAGTTTTTAATCTCTTTCTTTTTTTGTCTTTTTAATTTTTTACAGAAATTCTCATCGTTGAGATTTCTTTTTTTCTTTTTTACAATTTGCATGTAAAGGAAAGAGTTTAATCTTGCAATTATGGTATTGAGCATAGATGATGCTCTCATTTGCTTCCCTTTGTGTTGCTCCCGTCCAGGGTTTGGTTGCTTATAAGAGTTAGGGTTGTTAGATGGTGCTCTCTGTTGTTTAGGCGAGTACATTGGTATATGTGTACATATATCTTTCAATAATGATATGCTAAATTATTTCCAATGAAGTTATCGGTTTTTCCTCTGTCCAACATCTGTCTGTCTCAGGCCAATCTAATTGTCTGGGCCTGCCTCTAGCTAATTGTTGTACATCAAATAGGAATTTATGCGTTTGTCTTGATTCTTTGGCCACTTGAAATTTTTTGTTTTGTTGGGATTTTGGAATTATAAGTTTGGAGTAACCTTTGGGTTGCAGTGGAGGTTACTTAGCTGTTTAGGTGGTCTTTGTTAGTGATCTTGTGACATGTAGCAGATATAAGTCATGTTTGGAAGTTGACATCCAGATATTGTAACAACCCTAACCCTACCCAGACATAATATTGTCTGCTTTTGGCTCCCCCGGACTAGCGACTTCCCAGGAGGTCACTCACCTTGGTACTACTCTAGAGTAAGCACGCTTAACTTTGGAGTTCTGATTGGTTCACGGCTTTAAAACGCGTTGTGGGATCATGACACCCTGTAGCCTGTCAGTGTGGTAGCTCATCCGGTGTCTTGCACCCGGCCACAGAGGTCGTCACAGATATTTCTCCAAAAGAAAAAGAAAAAGGTTTTGTATATATCTACTGGTATGCATCTGATTTTCATTATTATAGTTGTCTGCCAAAAGAAAAGGATTTGTATTAACAAGGAAAGAAGTGATATAGAATAAAGCCATGTTTGGACTTTGACAGCCAGATATATCTCCAAAGAACAGGATTAGGATAGAAGAGGAAATTGTATTAATGGTATATGAGAATTTCCACTGATGTTTAGAACAATGATTAGATTACAGATCTGATATGATGCATGTCTCTATTCTTAATGCTCCCAGTGTGTGAGCCACCTTGTTGGCCTCCTTATTCACAAAGGAAAAGGAGCAGACATCAAACTTGGAAGACAGATTCCTGATGTCAGCCAGCGAAGGTTTAATCACTACTTGGTTGTATTATTTTTCCAGAATAGTGGATATTTTTTCGCCTTGAGACAGCATAGTCTCCGTGCGCTGAGGTTTTCACGTTTAAAATTTGATGTCTCTGTTCTTTACTTTTACGGCAAGTGCTTGGGTCACTAAGGGCCCATTTGGCAACCACAGTTGCTTTGTGTTTTTGCTTTGACCCGAAGCAGAAGCAGTGTTTCTGCTTTGGAGTGTGTTCAATACTATTCCAAGACATGTTGGTAATGTATTTGTTGCAAGATTTTTGGAAGCAAAACATGAAAACATGTTTGGTAAAAAACGTGTTGCAAGTTTGAAAAATTAAATGGATAGTTAAAAAGGTGTGTGTGTTTTTTTTTTTTTTTTTTGTGTGTGTGAACAGTGATTTTGCTATAATGCGGAAGCACCAATTAGCGCTTCAGTACTATTCAAATTGCGGCCAACGTTACCAAACATGCTTTGTGCTTTTGCTTCCCTACAGTGTCCGAAACAAAAATCACGAAGCAGAAGTGGTTGCCAACACAGGTCCTAAGAATTCAATCAATATTTGAAATCAAGCAAATGACCGAAATAGACTTATTCAGCCCCTCTAGGTCAACCTAACCAGAGAATCAAACTAGTTTAAAACCATCCTCCACGGTTGTGCCACTCTCCGTGTCAGTATTCAATGGTTAGCTTGGTCCCGTCTGTTCACTATCTATTCTGGTTGAGATCATTTTGTTTGAAAATGGTCCTTGTAACTGAATAATGTGTAGTATCTATTAATTCAATTGGATGAACGCATTTTTTGCTGGAAATACAATTTAATGGGACCAACTATTGACATTTCACAAGGCTGGGGTTGAACTACTATTTAGTGTAAAGAAGCTTACAAAGATTCTTCTTGAATGATAACATATGACTACTTTATTATTGTTCTGTAGAACAAATGACTCAATAATAGATCCTTATCTTTATAAAATAGGTTGTTCCCCTTGCTGATTATATTGACCTTGTTTATTCTGGTTGAACAGGTATTAGAGGAGAATGTTGGTTGGGAGGACATCCTGTGGTCACAAACTGGTGTTTGTATAGCTGGAAAAGAATATCCTGTCACTCGGGTGCACTTCTTTTCTCCAAATTAGGCGGTCCCTTTGGTTTGTCTCTGCAGTGACCTTTAAGGCGGCTGCCTGAAGCGAGCAATCTGTTAGTGACGACATGCTTTATATATTTGTTCCATAAAAGTTATTTGGTGTTAACTTGTTACTTTTATAAGACATTATAGCAGTTTGGACCTTTTCTTTTTTCTTCTTTCCTCCCTGTTCTGTAAAATGCCTGCTGGTGAGCGTTTCTTCACCTTATCGCTCATCTTCTCTTACTGGTAATCGGATCCTCACTAGTTTGTATGCAGGCATGTGAGTGAAGATGATTTCATTTGCGGTCCTCAAAGCAGGAGCTTACTGTTACCAACTTTTCTATTACTATTTCCCTCATCTGGTTGCTCTAGTGTCTATACATTATATTCTACATCACCTACATATAGAAAATAATCTGGGTCACTTGACCTTGAAACAGAAGGGAAAAAATGGATGAAGTTATCATGGGGTTGAGAGTATCCCCTCTGCTGTTGGATCGATATGTCATCCTGATGGTGCTGAAGAAATAGATAATATGAAAATGAAACAATAAACATAATAGGCTTGTGTCTTCCCTTGTGATGGTATGGTTGCAAATGGTAGAATTCAGCTCAACAAAGTATAGTGATGGTCCTTCCATTCTCTGTAGGATATTTTCAAGTGTCTGGTGCTCTTTAGCCTCATATGAGAAAATTTTGAAGACTCCACCACAATCAGAAGGCTGAAGAAAACTTGGAATCTTTCAGAGCCTATTTTCATTTGATTTGATGTGCTTTTTGTTGGTTTTGTTTACAGTGATGTAGGAGTGGTTCTTGAGTAGGGCTGTTCTTAGAGTAGCATATCAGTGATGTAGGAGTGGTTCTTGAGTAGGGCTGTTCTTAGAGTAGCATGCTTCAAAACGGCACTGTTTTGGTGTACGAGAGGCACATAATCTCCTTCCTGCACGGGAGGAGATCAGGTCTCTTAACATTTACTCTGCTTTCGGCACAGGAATTACTGTTGTGACCAAAAAGTATATCATGGTGAGCAAGAATAGGAACTCTTATGATACTCTCAGCTGATTTCAATCACTTCCAACTTGCTTATTCTAAAGTCAAATTCCTCGATCAATTCAAACCTGGCTTGAACCTCAATTCAGACTCTTGCATAATTTTATTTCCTCTTCAGTCAAATAGATGCCCTATAACGCCTGCAAGGAAGTGATTTTATGAAACATCCTAGCTCTTGTTGATGAAGTACCTTACGGGGCAAGAATTCCATTTGGAGGCTAGAAATATGGCAACATTGGCGGAGGTTGGAGGCTGGAGATAGTTCCAAGTCCAGGGGAAATGATATTGGATATGATTTTAGCAAATAATTACATATGTCCAAATAAGGAGTTAATTTTGCAGATACAATATTCAAATCTGGGAGATCATAGCAATCAAACCAGTCAGTCAGTGTACATCACTAAAAACCATAGTCCGAGATACAAAAGAAACAAGAGTCTCATACAGAGCACTACTAACCCTTTAAGGAAGAAAGTAGAGAATGGAAAAACAGAGAGAGAGAGGGCTCTTGAACAAATAAAAGCACCCAACAGAGTTCAAACGTTGGTGTTACTTGGACACTGTAGGTACACACAGCTTACAGGATCGCTCATAATTCCGTTCTTGACATTGCTATTGAAGGCGTCGGCATTTTCAAGTCCAGGGGTTGAGTTTTGCCCAGGAACTGTTATTCCAGGGTACGAGGCATCATCCCCGCGTACATTGATGGTTGGTGGGACGTTACCCACCCTGCACATGTTATGAGTACCACAGGATTGGGGAATGCTTAAATGATTTTGCAGAAGATGACTAACACTGGCGGTTAACGATCCCCGAGCAACCAAATCTTCAGCTAACTTCACCTACAATAATCAGTAATAATCCTTAGAGAGGGATACATCTCTGTGTCCTCAATAAATTGGCTGTAAAGCACTGTAGAGTTAAGTTTTCAAAATGACAGCTTAGCAGAAAACAACTGTTCTAACAACTCTAAAAATTCGAACCATTTAAGCATTTATGGTAATATACTAATATGTAACAACTAATTCTTGTTTTGCTGAAAAAAGTACATATATTTGGTTTGTAAGGAACAATCAATAATTGTTGATATTTCTCTCTCTCTGAACAATTATAAGGGGAAAACAGAAAACAAACATGATACCTTGTGAATTGTTATCACAAAAAGGAGAAAAAAGAAAAAATGATACCTTGGCTCTCAGGGCTTCTACATCTGATTTAAGCACTCGATTATTTGTGCTAGCATCTTTAAATTGTTGAGTAGCATCTGTAAAACGTTTGAATAGATTTGCATTTTCTCCTCTCAGTTGTTCAACCTGAGAGAACCATAAAGCAAAATTTAGGGGAAAAAAAAAAAAAATGTGGACTTCTGACTTAAAAGAAAAAAATATACTAAACTTTCTGCATAAAGTTGGTGCTCGTCCATTAAATTGAAAGATAAATACCCAAATGCTTCAGTTTTAAAGAACTCGTTCCCTAGTTCCCAATCATGCTCTAAACTCTATGTAGTTGCAAGAGTATGGAGTAAAGAAGAAAAAAATATAGATATTTGATTTTTACCAAACGAAATATATGTTCTTGTACTATATCATAATTTCCCACTCTTTCCAACTGAGTCTTGCCAATCAAGTGGTAGCAAAAAGTTATCACCAAGCCACTGGCCCAGGTGGTATAACCTTTCTCCCAAAGGGAAAGTGAGGGATTCAAGCCTCAAGTGGGCGAAATTGTGCGGATGTTTGTGAGTTGTTTAGGAATTAAAAAGGGGGCATAAAGTTTCTTTTACTGTCAGCTTATTAAATGACATATTCTAGGCAAACCTGCAGCTCAAGATCTGCCAGATGTGCTTGCTTTCTTTTTCTTGAGCGTCGAGCAGATTCCCTGTTTGAAACCATCCTGAAACACCACCAACAAATGCTATGTTAGGCTGGCATGAAAGATCAAACTCATATCACTATACCAAATCTTATAGATCACTCTACCTTTTGATTCGTTTTAACTGGGTAGGATCACCGCTCTGTTCGCATTGACCAATTTCTGTCTCCATGTCATCATCATCTGATTCAGGTGAGGAACCACCACTGTTCGCTCCCATAGCTTGAAGATCTCTGCCTGTAGGTTTAGCGGTTGAAGTCGGACTGCCAACTGACAGGTTACAAATGCATGCAGAAGTTAATCCACAGGCAATTGAATAATAACTCGGGTTTACTTTTAAACAAAGAAAGCATTTTCATAGACCTATATACATTTATTCTTATTAAGAAAAATGTGAGATTTTATTTGTTTAGAACACATGATGGTTGAATACTGGTGAGGCGCTCCCATAGAAGCAATCATGCATACATGGATATTACCATGCATGCATAAACACATACATGCCCATACACTGAGATGTACATACATCCATCTGACCTAGGTCTTACCACATATTGATGACTGTGAATCAGTGGTCACTGAGATGCTGGAATGCTTAGTATAGACATTATGAGACCATGGAAGGTTATCTGTCAGTCCACAACTTGAGAAGCCATTCAGTAACTCCTGCTATTACAAACGTGTTTAGAAGTTATATTCTAAGCTACTAAGATTATTAGATAGCAAATCATATCAAGGAAAATGCATAAATCAAACAATGAAAACAGGGCTGAATACACTTATCAAAAAAAGAAAACAGGGCTGAATACATTCCTATTTATTGATATTTTATTATTTCTTTTTCTCCTGCCATCAGGGAAGGAAGATTGAAGAATCTTAGCAAACATCAAAAATAGTTGTTCCAAACCTACCTTCTTGGTTTATCACAATTCTAGTCACCTACTCTTAACTCATCTTCAATCTTTCCACAGAATTAAGCTCACATTTAGATTCTTGAATAAAATATGATAAATAGAAAAGATAGTCTTTCTTTTTCATTTTTTCCGAAAGGTTAGTACATTACACAGACATTGTCCCTTTTTGTCATTTCTTATTTTACATAATATTCTATGCCTTCAAGTTAATAAGGAAAGTTTAATTAAGTTTTCATACACATCTAAACCTAAAAATGCCTTAGGCTCATCAAGGCATAGCCACAGTGCCTTATTCTATGACAAGAAGGCTCCTCTTGTCAGGTTTATGCATCAAGCCTTCAGGCATATGTTTTGTGATAGATTAAAACTCAAGAAAAGCATGTATTTTTTTAAATAGTTCAAATATTTTTCCTTCTATTTCTAAAAATAACCATTAATTGACATACTTTAGATTATTTCATTCATGTGATAGATTTTACTATTTAATCGTATCAGATATTTTGTATTCGGGATTCATGTTCTCATTGTTGTCTACTTGAATTGCATGTGCCTAGTACTTGCTTACAATCGTTATAGTAACATATTATATGATTGTTTTTTTTTTTTAATAAGTGGAGCCCAATACATGTTTAAAATCTATATGATTGCTTCATTGTAACCTTTTGTTACCTTTTGTTATTGCACACTTGCATGGTACTTATTTAATAGTTGAGTGCATTTGCAGTCAGGTTTAAAGGATAAATCTACATTAATTTAATTAACCCCTTTCATTGATAAAATGATAAGTCAGAAATTTCCCTTTTTAGTTTTTATTTTTTATTTTTATTTTTTATTTTTTATATTGCAAATTTTGAAAAATTCAATTGCAAGCGTATTTTATATAAGTTTCTATCACATAAGTGTTACTTTGCCCAAGTTCATAAAGTGCTTTGTGCTTAAGCTTCAGGAGACTTCGGCACCGTAGCACACCTCGAACCTCTGACAACTATGGTTGACTCATTGAAGCAGGCGCATTTCTACTGTGCATAATCTTATAGTATGCATTGGAAAACAATATAAAGATTAGGTAACAAATTTGAAAGATTTACTGCTAATCAACTTAAAGAATTCATGCTCAAATCTTGAGAGAGAAAAAAGTGGTGGTCTTCACAAAAGAATGAAATATTAGTAGTATCATACATAAAGAATATGGACAATGAATCAGTTTTCAGATCCAATAGGATCTAAGTTAACTAGTGAATTTCCTATCACATTGGATTAACAAATGGTCAACATTGTGTACTGATCAGAATTGAACTTACTAAAGTATATATGGAAAGTCTTCAAGTGTATTTGGTATTTTAGGGTAAGTAAAACATTGTTTATATATAATCAATATACACTAAATAAAAACATAGGAAAAGTGACATATGGATTAGTGAAAAATTTATGACCCAAAGACACCAAGAAAAGATTATTTTCAATGGAAATTGAAGATACATTGCCTATAAGATTAGAGATAGCTAACGCAAGACCTGAATAGTCAATAAACAGCATATCTAATGTACATGAAGCCAAAGTAAAGAAGGTGAGATAAATCAATGACCATACATCAAGAACTAAAAAAATAAGTGATGAACAAATTCGTGTAGACATTTTGAAATCAAGATAAATGCTTCACCCAAAAAGGAACAAGGTTCTAGATGATTAGACAAGAAATAGTGGCCTTTAACTTAATGAAGGATGTGGCTGGAAATAGGTAAACTAGAAATTGGATTGTTGCCGTTGAACGAGTGTTGGTGTTTTAAGGCTTTTAGAGTTATTGGGTGTTGCAAAAAAGTAAAAGAAGTGTTTTTTTTCTTCTTTTTCTTCTTATTCTCTTTACTAAAAATATAATTGAACATGTGATCCTCCCAAGTGGACTTGCATAAGCCAATAAACACAAGAATTCCGAGTTTAAGGAGAGTACTGATGTTAGTTAAGAGAGTATAGATGAAAGGTAGTTGCTTTACAGATTTGCTGGTAAGGATTTTTATTAATTTATTATTTTTTAATGCTTATGAGAGAGAGGAAACTGAGCGGTCAAATAGAATGACCATACCTAGAGTCGTCCTGCCTATGAAGGATGTTGGGAGGGGAGGGCCTTTACACATATATTGGACATTATTTCGTATTGAGTGCTCCAAATAGAACTCGCATTCTCACACCTAGCTGAATGCTAAACATTATGTCCTAATTGTCAAAACTGATAGTTCCTCATGTCAGATGCACGCCAGCTTATTCCTTAAAATAGCAAAGAAGACATGGGACTCAACTCCCAATCTTATTGTGCATGCTTTTGAGTGGTGAAGTCCTATATTAGTGTAGTTGGTATAATATAAGTCATATAATTCTTCTAAAACGGTGCCGCTCTCAAGTGCTGTCGCTCTCTCTTCCTATCTGCACGCTCTTGCTCCAATTTCTACTCTGTATGACTGTTAAATTTTGTCCTGTTTGCGCTTCTGCTCTCACTCTTGTAAGTTCAATTCTGATCAGTACGCAATGTTAACCAGTCCGCTCTCACTCTTGTAAGTCCTATATTAGTGTAGTTGGTATAATATAAGTCACATAATTCTTCTAAAATGGTGTCGCTCTCAAGTGCTGTCGCTCTCTCTTCCTGTCTGCACGCTCTTGCTCCAATTTCTATTCTGTATGACTGTTAAATATTGTCCTTTTTGCGCTTTCGCCTATGTTACATGGACTCGGGTACGGGTGTCGGACACGGGTATGTATCCATGCATCGGATGTGTCAAATCTCCAAATAGAAGGACATGTAGACACGGTTAAATTGTTATTTTCATTCTATTAATTATTTTATTTTATTTTCTATAGTAAAGTAATGTTTTTATTTAATATAATATTCAATATAGACATTTAACTCATTTTAAAGTAATAATATATTGTAATTGAATGATTGGATATGCTTTTTAAGTACATGTCCAACCACGGACACATATCTCATACCCATGTCCGAGGAATATGTATCTGAGTACGCAATGTTAACCAGTCCGCTCTCACTCTTGTAAGTCCTATATTAGTGTAGTTGGTATAATATAAGTCACATAATTCTTCTAAAATGGTGTCGCTCTCAAGTGCTGTCGCTCTCTCTTCCTGTCTGCACGCTCTTGCTCCAATTTCTATTCTGTATGACTGTTAAATATTGTCCTTTTTGCGCTTTCGCCTATGTTACATGGACTCGGGTACAGGTGTCGGACACGGGTATGTATCCATGCATCGGATGTGTCAAATCTCCAAATAGAAGGACACGTAGACACGGTTAAATTTTCATTCTATTAATTATTTTATTTTATTTTCTATAGTAAAGTAATGTTTTTATTTAATATAATATTCAATATAGACATTTAACTCATTTTAAAGTAATAATATATTATAATTGAATGATTGGATATACTTTTTAAGTACATGTCCAACCACGTCGGACACATATCTCATACCCACGTCCGAGGAATATGTATCTGAGTACTTACTACTTTTGAAGAGTCCATATAACAGAGACTTCAGCTCCCACTCTTGCACCCCCTCCGACTTTATAAGGCTTAGGTATAATTTCTCGTTGAAGAAGTAAAAGTTTTGATCCCCATATAAAATAAAATAAAAACACTCACACCTAGTAAGAAAAATAATAAAACTAATAAAACTGATGTGAAAATATGCATATCATGCGCACACACAAACTAAATAAATAAATAAAAATAAATCAACCACCACCCAATTCCTCAAAACCATGTCAGAAGACCAATATTTCAAAAGTTCAATCAATTAAAGAACGGATCCAACAATATATGAAAATATATATACGTATATCTATAAAGTTCCAAAAGTATTAATAATATTATTTAAATTAAGTGTGACAAAATAGTGATGTCAAACTACAACACTAAAAAGTTTAGTGATCCCCCATGAACAATATGCTCCACCAGTCTGACTAATACCGACACGTCCTCATGACGTGGCTCTCTCACTTTTCACGTCAACAACCACCACCACGTGTTATCCCATCACAATCATATCTCCACATTATTACTATAATCATTTACACAAAGTCACGTGACCAGCTCATGACCCCATCCTCTTATTACGTGGCAAACAAACATTGGCCAACAATTTTGTTCCTCGTGTGGACCCCGCATATAGTTCAATTTGGTACTTCTGTTTCATTTTAATCGTTACTATCTGACTTCTAAATCGAATCAAACCGAGTCAAAAAAAAAAATTCATTATGACACTTATACAAGTACACACTACAAAGCGAGCATATACATATATTGATATATTGTATGTGTATATATATAGGGAGAGAAAAAGGCACTAACCCGATTTCTGAAAGGGAAGCTAAGATCGCCGGCGCAAACGTCCCCGTCGTCTTCGAGTGCAAAGACAGAGCCGGTACTGGCGAAAACCCTAGCTCTGGGAGTCCGAATTTGGCCAATTTTCTCATCTTTTTCGGCGATCTCGGGAGCAACCGTTTGATTGAGAAGCTCCTCCAGATCCAACTCTGATGCGCTTCTCTTCATGTCGCCACCGGGAAATATCTGGGCGTCCTCCGCAGGCCGTTGATTCATTTCGGCTGCCGACAATGATCTCTCTCTCTCTCTATATATATATATATATGTATGTATGTATATCTTCCTTAGTCTGTAAGACTAGAGAGTAGAGAGAGTGGTGTAGCGGTTGATTGATTATATTTATGTATAAATAGAAAGTAGAAGAAAATAAAGCTGGGCTTATATAAAGTCGGTTACTTTACCTGCTTATTGTTTTTAAATGACTGAAATGTCCTTCATGGAGACTTATATTTGCATGCTTAACTTTTTTATTTTTTATTTTTTATTTCACAAAAATAATATACCAATCAACCTCACTCGAACACTATTTATGGTCTAATTAGGAAATTTGAACACTCACACTTTTTATTCCATAAATGGTTTGTTATATTTAATTTTTATTCATTTATCTTATTATAATATTAATATTTTTTTAAAAAAAACATATCTTTAAAATTAGGTGAATCTATTGTTGAGGGATTAAGTAGAGAATGGTGGCAACATGAGAACAAGTTTGTCAACATCAAAGTCGAAATGGGATATTTCTTTACTTTATTTTTGTATGCTGTCGACTTCCACGCACTCAACCCATTTTTTTGGGCAAAGTTCAATTCCCTATCACAAAACTTTAGGTAATTGTCTATTAAACAGGTCATTATCATATGCAACGTGTGGAGAGTTAAAACTAAAAAAGTTACTCTTTAATCCTTATCAAGAATACATTGAATTGAATTGTTAGAAAATTTGACCTACTTTTATAATACTATCAGAACACCAAAATTGACAATTCAATAGAGTATTTTATAGAAATAAAATATGAACAAGTAAGGACCGCTACCAAGGTTTAGTCTTTCAAAGGAAGGTTTTGAGTTCGAGTCTCTGTGGAGGAGTGTGAGTTTACTTTATCATCCAAAAAACAAAAACACAAGTAAGTGCGGAGCCAGAATATACTTTACAAATTGTATACTTGTATGTATAAAAAAAATTCAGTTCGGGGTGTTTTAGTAAGAAATATAAACTTTAGGGGGCAACAAAGTAATATTTTATAAATAATATATCTATAATTCTATATGTATAAAAAAAAAAATTAATGGGCTAGCTTAGGCTATCCGTCTCCGAAAACAAGGAACATTATTTACAATGTGATGCGAATTTTTGTAAATATGTATATTATGTGTGTAATAGGTTTTCATAAATATTTTACAAATGTCATAGTATTTTTTTTGTATTTACGAGTTTTACTTTTAGTACATAAAGAAAGAAAGAAAGAAAGAGTGTGTTCCAACGATTTTGAAAGTTATTTTGTAAATTATTTGTTGCTCTCAGGGCGGACCCAAGAAAAAATATTTGGGGGGCTAAATTAGTTAATAAAAAATTAAATTTAAAAAATAAAAGAAAATACTTGTAATTTTTTTAGTTCATTTTTAACATTAAGAGCATGCCTATAGATGATATGAAAAGAAAATTAGTGCAAATTAAGAACATTTGATGTTTTCAAGTGTCAACGGTATTATTATTTTTTTCTTCTCTTTAATTCATAGCAAATAATATGTGTGTGTGACTGTTTGTGTATAAATAAAGTATGTTGCAATAAGGTTTATCATAATAATGGTTATTATTATTTACTATATTTTGAATTTATTAAAGCAAGAAGTTTAATCAAATTTGAAGGGTTATAAGTAATTTCATTCACAAACCATATCTATCCAAAAAAAAAAAAATTTCACAAACCACATACATTCAATAATTATAAGGTAAACCGTAAATAGAAATTTTTTTAGAATTTGGAAGAGGCAAGATTTAATTTTTATATAAAAAAACCACCATTAGTAACTATAATAATGGTTTTTTTTTTTTAAACTATATTTTGAATTTTTTTAAGCAAGATGTTTATTCGAATTTGAAGGGTTATAAGTAATTTGATTCACAATTCACATTCAATAAATAATCATGAGGTAAACCATAAATAGATTTTTTTTTAGAATTTGGGAGAGGCAAGCTTTAATTTTTATATAAAAATCACCATTAATAACTATAATTTAATAAATATTCATATTTTCTAAATAAGAAAATATAATAATATTTTTATTGTGGTTTTTTTTTTTTTTACTATTTGTATTCATATTTTCTAAATGAAAATATAATAATGTTTTTTATTGTGGCTTTTTTATTTTATATAGAAGTTTTTTCTTTTTCTTTTTTTATTTATTAGAGTCACAACAAGAATTTTGTATAATATTTGTTAAAATTAATTGTATTCAAATTCATAATTTATTATTTATTAATTCACTAAAACTAGAAAGAAAAAAAAAAAAAAAAGTTTAAATAAAAAGTAGTAATGAACTAAAAACATATCACAAATTCTAAAGGGTAAAAAAGATATAATCACAAATTCTAAAGGGTAAATTTTGATAGTTTTAGAACTAGATGGAAATATTTATCAAATATTTAACTTTTAACAATAACTTTTACTAAATAGCACTTTGGGGCAAATAGGCCCACGTCAACTGTGATATAGTGGGGCTATGTGCCCCCACCGTATGTGGTGGGCCCCACACCACACCCTGGTCCAGGTTTCTTTTTCTTTACTTTAAAAATAAGAAAGTTTCTTATTAATATTATTTCAAATAAGGAGTGAGAATGAGATTTTATTATTATTATTATTATTATTATTATTATTTCAGTTTCTCTAGTTTAATACTCACATCTTCGAGAATTGTTTGACGTGGACATGAAAATTTTAAAGGAAAGATAAAAGGAAAGATAAATTTATAAAGTTATTTTTACTATTAAACTCATCACTACTTTATTTATGAAATTTATTAAATATTTATGAAGGATGATGTAGTAATTTAAAACTTTTATAATAGGCTCAAATTTGGGCGGATGAAAATTTATTTGAGAATTTGTGATATTCTTTATTTCCTTATATAATCTCTACAGAACGAAGAAATTTCGTTCCTACCAACATAAAAAGGAATTGAATCTTAAACCTGATAATTCATAGGCACCAAGACCAAGTGATCGCACTTGTTAGGGTGAACACACCTATTCGGAGAGATGAGTACTCTACCAACTAGGTCACTATGCCCCAATCAATTTTTGTTTGAGAAGCCTTACTTTTTTGTAATTTTATTTTTGAGTAATGGTTCATGAACCAAGTCTCAAAGCCAGAATTTCAAGCCATTGTAAGTGCCATTATAAATAAATTGGTTTAGAACAATAATACGTACTCATATTTAGGACACAAATTCTTAGGCATGAAGCAAAAATGTTTAATATCACGTTTTTATTTGATTTTGGAAACACTAAGATGTTCTTAAAAACCAAGGATTTATTTATTTATTTTCTGTTCAAGTTACTGCGTAACAATTGTCGGAGTGACCCACACAAAACCTAGAATTGATTCACCAGGAAAACCAAAAATAAAGGGGGTGAAGGTTTCAATTTCCGAGCCTAAAATATTTTGTGTTATCTATTATTTGATTGTCATAAAATATTTACGAAAAATATATATATTAAAATTTTACAAAAATATTATTTATCATATTTCAGCAAGCATGGACTACCTAGACTTTTGCCAAACACCAAAAAAATAAAAATAAAAATAAAAATAAATAGTTCACATGAAAAATATTTTACACAAACGGATTAATTTTAATTCAATTTATCAATATAATTACTATGCCAATGTTAGCTTATACAATTACAATCTAGCAAATCAAACACAAATAAAGTAAAAGAAAAACAAGACCACCAAATTCAGAAATAAAGTAAAAGAAAAGAAATAGTAAAAAAAAAAAAAAAAATTACGTTTAAAACCTAAACGAGAAAATTCATGAAAATGTTTGTTTCAAACAAACCAATCCAAACTCATCCATACTCCAAATCTCAGCACAACATTCATAGCTGGTCCACACCCTATGCCTCTGGAATCATTAACCACTTCCCACCATCACACACACACACAATTACCTCTGGAATCATTAAACACTTCCTACCATCACACACACACACAATTACTCATTGGTCTCTTTTTCTTGGCAATGGTGTGCCGGATCTCTACAGAAGAGAGATGAAAATTGCTGCTAGGGTTCACACTGTCCGATTCAGTTTGATTTCGTTTAGAGAGAACTACAATCAAACGATCATAACGGTTCCAACAAAATTAAAACCAAACCGAATCACCAGAGTCGGCTAAACCAAACTAATCTAAACTACATAAATGGTACTAGTGCCATAGTTACTGGTCTACCCCATTGCAGTTTTGAATTTAAATCCAAAAATAGTTTGGTGATTTTCTAAAAAAAATAGCATTCAAAATCAATCTAAACATGTTTTAGAAGCATGAATTCAATATGCCTAAGCATGCAAAATGCAAAAATGTTATACTGTGAACTTTGGATATAGTGCGAGTACATGTTAACATCAATACCAACACTCAAAACTAAAGAGAAATTACAACATAAACGTTTTGTAAAAAAATGAAATCTGTCGACACACTACACACTAAGTTCTAACAATATGCCAATTTGGCAAAATCCCATGATAAGACCGTAGTCCTAATCATATATCAATCAACCTATTCAAAGCAGGAAACATGACACACGAATACATTTGCCAAACACAAAAGTAACTATTTTCTGTGTAGGTAAACCTGTGATTTACAACACTTAACGCCAAAGAAAAATAACATCATGACCGCTGAATGAAGGCGCAAAAAATTTTATGGACTAAAATTAAATTATTGTATGTCTCCCAAAATGCATGCTACTTAAAATTTAGAGATTTAACCCCTTTTCTCTCCCCCTAAAAACAACTAAATAGGAAGAGAACACATAGAATATAACACACGACAATATATCATTACACAAAAAGTTCTATTACATTTAAATGGTAAAATAACAAAACCAAAAAAAGAAAAAAAGAAACAAAAAAAGATAATAAGTTCTACAAAACTTGTGTTCGAATCCTAAACACTCTGACTAAGCAAAAACATAAAGAAAAACACCCACATCTTCTCAAGCTTGTTCACTAGTGCTAATTCCTTTACAACCACCACCACCACCACCATCCCTGTCATCATCATCACCCTCATTGTTCTCATAAACAAATCCAACTTCCTTTTTAATGCTTTCAACTCTGTCAATCAGCTCATGAAATGAATCAATAGTAGCCCTATCATTTGCTAAATCAAATTTGTACTTCAAACCCCTACTTTATTTAAAGACATCTTGCCAAATCATCAAGTGAAACTTGGGAAGGATGCCCTAATGGTTGTAGGGGATTTCACGTATTTGGTTGTCATCTATACTAAGCTCAAGCCCTTTTGGAATGGCAAGCGGAAATCCACTTGTTCAAGGTTTCAAAGGTATTGACCACCAACAGTTTGTCAATTTTTTGCTTCACAAAACCTCAATGCCCAATGATTGAAGCAAACCCGTGAACACCATATGGTAAAGCAATCTTGATCCTATTCGACTTTCCTGCCAATATCATATATTGTATAACTCACATCTCTTCAATAGCAAGCCCTTGTACTCATGAGGACCAATGTTGAAATCGACAATTTTGTTCAACATCATATAATATAGGATCTCTCAAGGTACTTCATCTTCAATTTATGAATCAATGACATGTCTCTCCCAGCTACAGTCCTAATAATCAAGGAGGGTCCCCTGTATTTCACCACCCAGCGGCCAGCATGACACTTTTGATCAATAGGAAGAGAAGGAAAATAGAAGATTATGATTCCAGAATCTAATTCAAGTTAGCACGACATTGGATCCACGTCAACTTGGTTGTGGCATTCTCATATAAATATGACCATCAACTTCCTCATGAACGTCAATGCAAGTCTAAAAGTGGCGTTCTTTCTTATTAACTCTATTCATGTTTGCATAGAAACTATTTTACGAAGGAGACATTAACCATACAATTTAAAGTGCAAATAGGTGTCCATCCATAGTTTCAAAACCATTCAACAAAATATAACTCCAAAAGCTCTTAAGATCCACAAACCTCTCCTCCTCGAAAACTGCTTCCTAGTTATCTTGCCTAAATTTCCACCAGCCATCAAGACTACCAACAATCAAGGTCAAAGATAAAGGAGCCAAGTTAGGTTTTAGATTTTAGAAGCAATATTTTGAAATCTAGGTTTTTGAAAGGTTCGAGAGTGAGAGAGTATTAAGACTAAACACGAGCATTAAGGTGACCTAGGGTCCTTTTTACAACACCCAAAAAAGTGCTCAAATGACCCCATACATGCCTTTGCTGACTAGTAATGGTAGTAAGTGAAATAGATCCTTGGGTTAGGACCGGTAATAAACTTCTATCGAGAGTAGTACCAGTACAAATTTAATTCGAACTGGTGCTATTTTTACATAAACCTGATTTTTGACCTTTTAAACCCCAATTCTGATAAACTCTCTTAAAACCCCTCAAAAACTAAAATACAAAATAAATAAATAAACACATGTTTTTGGTATTTTTCAACATTTTCAATTTTTTTTTTTAAAGAGACAAGTTGACAACACAAATTAAAACAGACATCTCACCATAATTTGAAGAATTTTTTAATAAACGTCATTCAATGGGTTTCAATAAGAGAGCAATGATATGGAGGGAATCTGAACTCTGAATCTAAACATAGAGGGGAAAAAGCGTCATTTGATGGGTTTCAATAAGAGCAATGATATGGAGGGAGTCTGAACTCCGAATCTAAACATAGAGGGAAGGATTTCCCCTCCAATAAGTAGGAGGCTATCCATCAACCCCGAGACTATTCAAAGACAAATCCATGGTTTGTAACACCAAAAATGCTTGGTTCAATTCAACTCACTATTTAAAGATAATAAATAATTCTCCATTAAACGAAAATAATAAATTCTCTATCTATATGATAAGATATCTTGCAATGATTCATAAACAATATAAAAAGGGGAAACTACGCTATTCCCGTCTATACAGAATTCGTAAACAATACAAGAACGCAGACAATTAAACTTTCAAAAAGAAATTAATATTTCATTTTTCTCCACAATTTGACTTTTGACTGAAAACATATTCAGAATATAAAAATCTAAAAAACTTTTAAACAATATATCTTTGAAAAGCAGTCCAAGATAAATCATGAGTTGATCTTTGGAATAGCTTCAAACACATGAATTTTTTTTTTTTTTTCTGTCTCTCAATCTAAATATTTTTTAATATTCATATACGTAAAATAAAATAACAAATACATTCCATTTCATTAAGACCCTTTATAATAGCTACTAGCGTTTCTGTTTATACCATAAAAATGTCATCTATAGCACTCTAACTCCAACCAGAACGATGTGCTAAAAATAAAAAAGTAAAAAGAAACAAACAAATAAGTAACAGAAAACTCCCCACTAGTCTTTTCTCTCCTTAGTTTTCTCTGTACATAGGTAGATATGCTTCCTTTTGACCTAAAATTGTGTGTGTGTGTGTTTTTTGTAATCTAATTCTTAGAAAAGAGGAAGCTTCTTAATTCCATTTGGATAAATGGATTTGAAAAAAAATTGACTTGGTTTACTATTTTAGTGAATGTAGCTTAAATTTATAAATTTTTTTCTTTTAAGCTTGCATTTCAAGAAGATGCATGTAAACTTTTGATAGCACTATATAAGATTTAGGTACAATAGGTTATTGAAATCCATGCCAAGAAGATTCCAACTGCACATGGTCAACATAAATTACTCCTATCCAAAAATCAAAACTCCCCAAGATCCCAAATAAATATCCCAATGTACAAAAGTCACGACAAAAAAATATCCTTAGATTTTGAAAAAAAATCAATATTAGCAAGGTAAATCCTTGTATTTAGGAGGGATTAGTTTTGAAATTTAAAAGGAAGACATCGATTAAATGCAAGTCCCGTAAAAATGTTAAAACCCCAAAAGGAACAATTAATTTGGGACAAGGTTGCATATTTTATCAAATTTTAAGATCCTCTACTCTACCATCGTACTTGTGTCTCTCAATTCAACTTAATAGCCGAACCTTCTGTAGATTTGTGATTGGAATCTCAAGGACCTTCACTTCAAATCCATCCATCAAAACGCTAAAGAATTTAGGACTATCATTTGAAATTAAAATTTTACTCATGATGGTGTCTGAATGCATTAAAAATCAACACAGCAAAATCTAAAAAAATTCAGTCATGAGTTGACTGGAAATATGATGCCCTAGAAAACCAGAGACAAATCAGAGAACACATAACAAGTCACCAGAAAAAACAACAATGTGGCAGTTGCAAACAAATGAGAGCAAAATAAAACCTCAAGCCATTATCTTGGCCGACCTGACATAGAGGCTGTCCACAACCTTGCCCATGTTCTGGATGGTCTCCAATGTTGCAGGGTAGATGGCATCTGGCTTTGGATCATCAAAAATGATAAGACACCCAACACCTTGATCCAGTGTTCCAGCAAACTTCTTGTCTAAAATCATCTGCGACAATTTCTTCTCCACATGCTCAACTGGAAGTTCAATCAGCTCCGCAATATGTGCTATCTCAACCCGTGAGAAAGGTTCAATCAAGCGGCACAAATTCTGCTCCAAAAGTGTGTCGTAAAGAGACGAGAGGTGCCTATGCACAATTGGGTCTTCTTCCAGCTGGCTCTTGAAATCCCGGAGGGCAGTCTCAAATAACTTCAAGGATCGCTTTGAATAAGCATCAGCAATAGCTTTCATGGCATCCATTTCTGGCCCAAGATATTGCAAGCCTGCTTTGGAAGAGATTATACCGGCCACATCATCAGCTTGGTTCACCATGATCTTACATAACAGCATGTACTTGAGACTAAAGACTGCCCTGGGATCTTCAAGTGCGTTGAAGGCTTCAAATGCTTCAAAGAAATAGCTGTAAGCAGTTGTATAATCCTTCTCTTCTGCATGGAGAATCCCACTCTGCAAATCTATGGTGCCTTGTTGAGCAGGAGGCACATATATAGCATTTGCAGCTGTCCTAGAAGCTGTGAGTGCAGCTTTTGCCTTGGGAAGGTTTCTCAAAGAGAAGTGTAGCTTGCTTTCCAGCAAATCTATATCCACAAGAAGCAACTTGTCATCTAATCTCCTCACCTCTTTGACTAACCCGGACAGTAGGGTCAGAGCTTCTGAATACTCCTTATTTTCCATGAGAAGTGCAGCAAGCCTTGCCTCAACTCGCTGCCTAAGGAATGTACGCTTTTCCGCACGGGTCCATTGCACCATTTCTTTGCAGAGCGAAATTTGGAGATCACATGTCCCGGGTATTTTAGCAACAGAGTCAATGATTCCCCTTACAATTTTCGCTGTTTTTGCTTTGGGAATCAAGGAAAAGAAGGGTCTCAACTGGGTCAGAAGACTGCAAAGATCCTCAGCCCTATTCTGTTCTCTGAGAAAATCAGAGAGCTTTGTGATGGCCTGCTCTTTGATGCGCAGAGCTTCAGAGGAAGATGATGGGTCATCAAGTACGCGGTAAAGAATAGAAATCGCCTCAGATGGGTTTTTAGCTTCCAAGGCCTCTGCAATTGATTCAGTTGTCGCTGGGAGATATGATGTAGACATGACTACTAAATATAAGTCCTGCAAAACAAGAATCACCAACATTTGATTTAAACAGAAATTTAATGAAGTGTTTCACCTAATATATGAGTTGATTGGACAAAATAGTGCCCTTTATACCTTGACTTAAAAATGATTAATTTAGCATATAACTGGGATGTCTACATTATTTCATTAATGTCCAAAACTAATCAAAAGTATCATGCGAAAGAAAAAGGAGCTAATAACACGGATGGAAATACATATTTTGATGATTTGTCTTTACAGAAAATGCAAATATAAATGTCAGCACAAAATCGACCAACGAATAGCCAAATGAATTACAATTGTAAATACCAGTTGTAATGGATGGCTGCTGACAACTTCTTGTTTGAAAGAAACTATACAATTTTGGGTACTGGACAACACCTACCCATATCCTAAGCAATCAGGGATGTCTAGCATCCAAGCCCTCCCTGTTCCCCAGCAACTTCAAGGCAACCAAAGGGGAACTTTCTGCAGTAACACCTGTCAAGTTCAGTCTATGAATCCACAGTGGGACGTTCTTAATCCAAAGTTGACTTTTTGGTCAAAGCCCAGACCAAAGGTGCCAAATAGCGTAGCAGTATTTTTTTTCTTTTTCTTTTTGGGTACTGGACAACACCTACCCAATTGATTCATGCAGAAAAATAGATATTTACATCACAATTTACACTCTCTAGAGGAGTTTCTGCCTCCCAGAAGAATATCCAAATTTCAATATTGCATTCCTATTCAACAATATTCAGTAATGAATTGTGCCCCCTCCAGTGGGCCTCTTTATTATAAATATTTACCTGTGATAAAACGAATATTTTACCCCAGCATTGATGATTGTTAACAACCATATACTCTAAAAGCTTAAGTTGTTGGAGAGGGTGTAACTTTAATATTTAAATCCTACAAAAATGACAACAAATTAGGAGACTCAAAATGGGTATTGCACAAGGAACATTTTTTAATAACCTATTGCTGGCCAACTGCGACATCTTTAGAGTTGGCAAAAATCCTATACTCTACAGAAGAAATAAAAATATTAAACTAACGCCAAGAGAGAGACAGCTAAAGAATGAGCACTCATTAGCATGGAATCGTTCAAACTTGAGAATTGGCAGGATTACCAAATTTATAATAAATAAATCAAGAAAGGGCAGTATTACCAAATTTACAATATATTCACCGCTAGATCACATTCTAAACTAACAATGCAGACGCATTTTGAGAAAAACCTTGAGCACCGAGAGGAAAGGAGAGGAGAGGAGAGTGCAAAGCGGACAATATCTACACACAACGGGGTGTGTCATGATAGATGTTATTAGAACCAATCCCGAGCCGGAAATGGAGTAGCGTGCACAAGCTCACGAGGGTCAAGCAGGCAAGGTCGCTGGGTCCCAGAGGGGGTGATTGTGACATCCCACATCGCCTGGGGAAGAGGTTGTTGGCAGTTATATTATATGTATGGACACCTAACTGTGTAGATGCATTTTGAGAGAAACTGTAAGCACCGGGAGGAGAGTGTGCAAAGCGGACAATATCTACACGGTGTGGGCGGGTATCAAACTAAAACATTCAGTCACCCGACTCAGCCAACACTATCAACAGATTGGTTTAACATGGTTAACAAATTCAAAAACTGACATTTGAACTGGGGCTTGAAATCCAAAACCATGTAGAGGCAAGATACCTATTTTTTATATGGCTTAATTTCTGGCAGGAAATATTTATGGTCAACGGGGTATATTTCTAAGTTGTAATCATCTAATGCTCTTATCTGTAACCCAAAAAAAAAATAAAAATTAAGAAGACCAAAATAGGGATAAGGCTACTCCAAATCTGTGGAAGATAGTTGAAAATCTGGAAAACACATATACTGACATAGGACGGGTAGGACAGATACAGGTTCATGGAAAACCTCAAAAAGTAGGACACGGGCACAGCCAGGACAAGACAATAACATTACAATACCAAAACAATAATTTGTTCATAGAAAAGGAACACAATTACATAGAACATAATGATTTCATTTCATCATTCAAGCATTGGCAAACTTAATAAATTGAAATAGTTCAAAATACACATCCATCATGTCCATCGTTCATTGATCATCAAATAACATTCTTAAGCTTTATGAGAGAGAAATCAACAAACATGTTATACAGGAATCAGGATGCAGCATATAACCAGCAATCAAGTAGAAAAAAACAAAAACAAAAACAAAAACAAAGAAGGAAAAGAGGTCATAGAAAAATATCAAATACGTCATATTCATATGTCTAGCAGAGGAAAGAGAACACATTTTACAGCAATTTTGAAGCATATTATATAGTATATAGTTTACGGGAAGGAAAAAAAAAAAAAGATTATAATCTCTCATACGTGTTAAAGCAACGAGTCTTGAGAAGAATGAGAAGATCTTAAACAGTGAGGGGAAAAGAAACAATTCAAAATTTCTCCAATACAGAAATTTTACGGCTACAGAAAAACCCTAAATTCAGGAGAAAATAAAACCCTAACCCTAGCTTAAGTAGAGATGAGAAAAGAAAGAGAAGATATGAAAAAAAAAACCCTAAAATTATAAATCAGAAGGCCGAAAATTTATGACTACCTGAGAAATAGCTTGCTTTTGTGAAGTTTATCTCTCTTCCTCTTCGCTCTCTCTCTCTGGTCTGCTGTTCAGATCAGCTTTTACTATAGAATGAAGGCCGATGCTAACAAGGCTTTACTTCAACTAATCAACTTCGTAAAATTACACAGTAGCCCCTTTTAGAAAATAATTAAAACCTGACCCGAATTTCCCAAGTATCCATATATTATATACCGTATATATTCCAACCTGTATATGGACTATTATTATACACGTATAATAAATAATAAATGTACGTACATATAATTGAAAAAAAAAATAATTGTTTTATTTAAAAATTTCCTACTTTATGAATAATACTCGATGTTTTTAGTTAAATCGCATGATACACAAATTAGTTAAATCGCATGATACACAAATTAAACGTTTTATGTGTTATACATTACAAAAAAAAAAATACTCACTTACATAAAAAAAAATTAAAAAAATTACACTGCCTTTAATCATTTTATTAAAAAAATAAAAAATCAAATTGTGTGCAATTATAGTAATATATCTGGTAAATAGCCTAACAAATTTTTTTCAAAAATTAATAGTTTTATATCTCGTGAGTCATAACTAGTAGAGTATTATGTAATATTGCATACCTATGTTTTTGCTAATTGTTAGGAGAATTAATTGATTATATGTATGTCTCCATCTATTTTTTATTATATCATAATAATAATATGGTATTTTTTTGGTTAAATAGCATGATACACATATCTACGTATGACGTAATAATTTTTAAATCTTACTTTTTGTTTATGGTCTTCGATCTATGAGTAAATGAAAAATATATAAATAAATGAAAGGCTGCGCTTTATATATTAATTAGGCAAAATGCATAAAATCCCTTTAATTATATATTTATCAAAAAAATTACCAGAACTATCATTTAAGCAAAAAATCGCAAAAATCATACAAATCATCCATACCATTAATTAGCCGTTAAAAATAAAAAATAAAAAATATTGAATTTGTTCATAATTGATTGACTATTTTAATCGTTTCAAAATTGTAAGGAATGTGGGTTCTCATAATTTCTTGTTAAAAAATAAATAAATAAACTTACAAGGATATAAATGACATTTTGATGGCCACTATTGGCCAGTCACCGTGTATTGACTTAATTGTAATATTATGATAGTTTATTAGGAGATTAGATGCTCCAGTAAGGGGGTTATATGCAGATTTTAGATAGTTGAGGGGGCTTTTCTACATTTTGCCTTTTTAAATTCCTTTTCTTCCCTAACAAGTCATGGCTGCTAACCACTCAAGAAGTCACGAGTCATGACTGAAAATCACCGCAAGGAATCTTCTTCTAGTTTTAGGCCACTTTACTTTAGAAGATACCATCTCCGGCCATATTTAACCGGATTTGGATCATCTCCGGCCAAACATTTCTTCTGAACTTTGCAGACTTCAATTTAATGGGATTTGGATTCTTCACAGCCAAATATCTCGTGAATAAAGCCTACTACTTACAAAATCAGTTGTAACATAATTTTCAACTTGGACTTTAATGAGACGAAGACTTTGACAAAGTCTAAACCACTTGATTAAGTGCGAAACTCAAAAGAGAAATTTAGTTGTAGGATACTTGTCCCTTATGAAAAAGGACAGTCTAAGAAAAAATTTCCTATAATATAAAAAAATATAAATAAAAAACTGAAAAATAATTGTATTATTAGATTTTGTAGTTGAACTAAATTGACAAACTATTGGTTAGAACTCGGTTTTCAGATAACAATTGCATGTTAAATTTTTCCCAAATTCCTTTTCAAATGTTATGTAGCAATCATAAACCTGACTTATATATATATATACACATTTGTTCCAAATTAAGGATTCTAGTTAGGGAATTAACGACGGTCAATAAGGTCACATGGTTGTGTAAGAAATACATATACCTCTACTAGAGCGATGTACTCGTATTGGATACTTATATTTCTCTTATTCTCACGGATACGTATTTGATACTTCGACTGCGTATCTGATAGTTCTCATATTTCATAACACATTTTTAATAAGTTTTGAACATTAAAATATAATTTTTCAAAAAAAAAAAATAACATAGTATAACTAATGAGAAAAGTTCAAATTTTATTAAGTGAGGATTAGAGAATGTTATTTTATATGTTATAAAACAAACTCCTATATTAGATTAATGATTGCATTTAGCTATTCATAAAATTTTTAAAAATTGACCAAAAAAATATATTTTTATACATATAAAATATAATTTATTATCTTTCTGTTGTCAGATTCTGTCATGCCCATGTCCTAATTTTTTTTTTTTCACATATCGTCGTACCCGTATCACATCGTTTTCATATCCGTATGTGTGCTTCTTAACAAATGTGGTCTATAAATTCCCCTAGTCATGAATTTTTTGTTTTTTAATTCGTATATTTTGACCTGCACGTAGTAGCAACTTTTAATTCCATAATCCGATAAATGTAGATTTTTATTAATATTTAGTTGCTTTTTAAAAAAATTTAAAGGTGGCTTAATAAATTAATGACATTATATATTGAATTTTTGGTCGTCTGCAGTAAAAAATTTCAATTTGTGCTTTCACTTTATTTATAGCCCCGAATGCAGTTAATATGAAATAAATGAAAATAACAACTGATTTTAAAAATAATAATAATAAAATCTAATACATAAAATCTCATATCAAAGAGAAACAAAATCCATGTAGCGAACTAAAGTTTCTCATACATGACAATCAACTTTTATATTATCTAAGTGATAAAATTTATAGAATAATTTAAAAAAAGAAAAAAATGAAAAACTTACTGACTATTTTAAGTTCTTGAAAATTTGGATTCACAAAACTCATAGAGGTTCTTAGATGATATGATTTCGGGGTTATTATCTTGAGATCTCAGGTTCTAATCCTGATTTAAGTTATATATAGTTTGTAGAAATATAGAAATTACGCCGCGGTCAAAGTCAAAAAATTACCTAGTTAGAATAGTTTCTTAATAACACACACAAAAAAAGGGAAAAAATATGTTGAAGTTCAATCTTGTGAATTCCAACCTTTATAGAATGTTTGCAGGGAGTGTATCCAAGATAGAAAAAAATAAAAAGAGTGTATAGTCAAAATGTTATTTTGTTTGCAAATATTGTTAAAAGTACAAGTCTTATAATGGGTTAAAATTGTAAACAGTGTTAGGCACTCGGATCTTTTTTTATATAAAATTTTGTTTAATAAGTTGTTAGAACGCTACACCATTACATCGAAAATGCTACATTGATACCAATGTGTTGCATTCTCAAAATAAAGTTTTTGCATTTCGGTATAATCCGCTATCTACTCTACTTTGAAGATCAAATGTAGGATTGAGCAGCAATCACGCTTAAAGCAATAATGCAGAATGAGAATAAATGTTGCCAAATAGAAGTAAATGTTATAATATAACAATGCAATACATTAGTTTTTGAAAATGGTAAGCACCGAGGGTGTATAAAGAGGACAATATTTATATGTATTGAGGCAAATCGTGACAGATGGTATTAGAGCTCATCCCTTACTGAAAATAAGAAGAGTGTGCACAAGCCCATGCGAGTCAAGCCATCGAAGATATTAGGTCCCAAAAAAGAGTGAATGTGATGTTTCACATTATTTGATAAAGATTTAAAAAATTATAATACGAAAAATGTGCAAAGCACAAACGTCTCACGTTGTCAAAAGGAAAACGGAAAATGCCTCAACTTTTAGGAATTCTTCCAACACTCTAGCACCATATTTACCATCAAAAATACATTTGTAACATCGAAAATGCTACATTGATACTCTTGGGGCTTCTTCCAACACTCTGTCAGTCCGTTTATTAGAATTCTAATATGGTATTAAAAATCCCAATGGTGAGAAAATTTGATCTTTTACTTTACAGAATCTGATTTGTACCTTGCCATACTTGATTGCTAGAAAGTCTTCTAAGGCAGTTTCTGGGCCCTATATATATATATATACAATTTTTTTTTTTAACTGGCTATAGGACAACAACAAAACTTCAAACATTAAAATCACAAGCAGCCAAAGCCAGAATATGAGCAGGAATATGCACAAGGGTTATATCTTGAGATATAATATCTTTGAAAAGTTTAACTAGAGCGTTAGCAACTTCATTACTATGTTTTCGAACATGAATAAAGCTAACTGAAAAAAAAAAAAAAAAAAAAACCTCATATCAAAAGAAATAACTTAAACATCGATAGGTCATGAGTCACTCCCCATCATGCAGTGCATACGGAGACAGAATCACGTTGAAACCACGTAGAATTATAGTAATTTTGTGCCCTGTATTGGCTCCAAGCTTTGTGTGACTACTTTAGTGACACTTTGTTGTGACTTGTGACACCATTCTTAAGGTCCCTAAAAACAGAGGCACTAAAATCTTGCAAAGTCATTCATATGTGTTTTAATTATTCTATCAAACAATCTGGGTCCCACACTAGTACGTTGTTCCCTTTTAGATTCCTCTAACTCGGTTTTAACTTAAACCACTTTAAAAATCACACCATTTTAAGAAACACATATACATGGAATGAAGGGATGTATCACCTTAATCTCACTTAAATCTTTTGATGGGATAGTATGAACCCGATAGATACTGTAGTCTGTGTACCAGGGTCTAACTTTGCAGATTCAACTTTGCGGTAAGTTGGCAGAGGGGTGCCCCCTGCCTGAAGGTGGGGATTCGGGGGCTTGGCCCCGACCTAAATTTTTTTGGGAGTATTTTGATAATTTTTGTATTTGTTATGTTGCCTTAGCAAGGGTATTTATTGATTCATGCAACCCTTTAGACGTAACCTTGAATTTTGAGTGAATTAAATAAATCTGTGTGCTCTTGTTGTGTATGTATTTGACCCATTTCTTGTATTTTCTGTTTAATTTCGCAACATCCTCTAATAATGCCTCTGATTTCCACCTTCTTTGACTAGTGACCTCAATTTGCACTTAACCAACGTAGATATATATGTGAACCAAATAACTTTACCCTTTTTACATGACTAAAAAACTCAAACAATCACGTTATTTTTTTCTTTTCTTTTTTTTTTATTTTTATTTTT